GCTACGACCCTCGACGATGGCCACCTGGTCCAGCATGTTGGGATGTCCCATGATGGAGGCATAGGTGTCACGATGCTGGTTTGTGAGCCACTCGCTACGTTCATGCCCCCATCAAAGCACATGAGAAATACATCAGGCAACTGGCGCTCGTGGGGATGGCAGAGCAGGCGGATGTGATACGCTCTAAGCCGTACAATTTTGTGGTATCAGCGTGACCGGTGCCGACATATTTCGATTGCACTGGCAAGGGCAAGGGCGACCGAGGGCAGGCCAAGTAATGGAGGTGAGCTGGCGACCAGACCAATTGAGCGACAACAAGTGGCAAGAGAGGCAGATCGTACGATGCTCTAGCTGGCTGTTGATGTTGTACCGAGAGTCCGCCTGCCATTGCGCGCGCGCCACAGAGCCAACGCATGACACACGTCGTCGTGAGCGTCCATCAGCGCACATGTCGCAAAAACGATTCCCAACCCGGTTCAACCGCATTCATGCACGTATCAACGCCACAACAACAACAACAACCAGGAGAGGAGCACCCAGGGAAGACGAGATGAAGTGCGATGAGCCGCCGTGAGCACGACTTTTTTTTTTTCTTTTTTTTTTCTTTTTTACCATCTTGTGTTGGTCGCGCCTCAAAAAAACTGAAGAGAGAGACAGACAGAGAGAGAGGCAGAGAGAGTGTGTGAGAGTGTGTGTCACGGAAAGAGATGGCGTGTTCGTCAGATCGACTTTATCAAGTTCTCCTTTCATAAATGGAGCGACGCAGAGACAGAGCGAATTGTAGAGAGCTGTCGAGAGAAAGAACATAAAGTCACTCACGATTGTAAAAAGAAACAAAAGAGAGAGAGAGAGAAAAGAATTGGTTTGAGAAGAGAGAGAGAGAGAGAGAGAAACAACGGCTTGTAAAAAAATGTCTGACAATTGTCAAGTCGTACATCCTTCAACGTGTGCATCTCTCTCTCTCTCTCTCTCTCTCTCTCTCTCTAAATTTTTTTTTTTGGAATTTGTTCTTGGGGTCTTGTTGGCTCGTCTGGGAGCCGGTGCTGCGCGTCTTCTTGGGTGTTCCTGGGGCTGGGCGTGGCTGGGTTCTGAAAAGACGGGAGGTGCTGGGAGTGTTGGTTGGAGGCCATCTTTCGGGCTGGCTCTTTGGAAGAATCGGGGACGTGAGCGTGGCATTTGATACTCGATGCGGTGGACTGAGCGCGAATTGGAGCGCGTGGTCAGCTGGGTAAGTGCTGCAGCAGGCTGAACTCAGAGAGATCAACCCGCACACGCGCCCGCGCCCGTGCCCGCGCTTGCTCTCGCCCTGGTTGAGAGGCTTGACGCTGCGTGTCTCTCAAGCTTTCGCTTCCTTGCCCGTTGTAGGTGGCCGTGGCGCTGGTGATTGCGGTGTATGCGGGCGTTATGATTGCAGCAACCTACACCAACGATCGCCTGAATCAAGGCCTGTTCTGAGATAGCCAACGGCCTGATCGGCCCACAAATTGCACTCGTTTGGATTTTGGAGTGCATACCGCTCCGTGGCTAACTCCTGACGTTGACCGCCGCCATGGCTGGCGGAGAAGCAGCCCCGTTGCTCACGCCCGGCAGCACGCCCGCACGCACACGATGGTCGGCCATTATTGCCGTGAGCGTTGCCTTTTTCATGCTCTTTTTGGCCTTCAACTCGCTGCAAAACTACGCCACCTCCCTCCTGCCCGGCAGCCTGGGCAGTGAGTCCCTGTCGGTGCTCTACGTCTCCGTCTGCGTCTTTGTCTTCACGGCGCCGCACATCGCCAAGCGCCTCGGCGAGAAGCGCACCATGGTCCTCGGCTCGGTCAGCTATCTCATTTACATGGGATCCACCATCCATCCCATCCGTGCCATTGTGCTCATCGCCGCCGTCATCATTGGTACGTCATCAGCATCCTTGTTTCTGCTTTTTTTTTTTTTCCTCCTCAAAACCATGGTGCTGGCTTTCTTTCTGACACACTTGTGTGCTTTGCACCCCGTGCCTCATCCACCTTGGGCCAGGCTTTGGCGCTGCCATCTTATGGGTCAGCGTGGGCTCGTACATCACAAAGGCTTCTCACCCTAGCGAATTGGGACGCACCAACGGCATGTTCTGGGGCATTTTCCAAGCGAGTGGCATTGTGGGCAACCTGTTTGCCTACTTTATCTTTGAGCATCTTGACGGGAGCGCAAGCCTTTTTCTGGCCCTCACTGCTGCTGGCGGTGTGGGCGTCCTCATCCTATTCTTCATCCCATCGGAGAAAACCACAATAGGTATGTCTCTGGACACCCAGCCCGATGGGCGCTCGAATGCCCTCACTTCAACCTTCCCACTCTTCAGGTACCCGTGAAGGGGACGACGAAGCCAATGAAGGCCCCGAGCCCTCCGTCAACGACGTGGCTCCCGCGACCCCCGCCGAGCATCTGACCGTCTGGCAGGAGGTTCAGAAAGTTTTTGACATCTTACTGACGAATCGACTTCTGGCGCTGGGCTACCTGATCATATTCACGGGACTTGAAATGGCCTTTCGCAGCGGCGAATTTCCCCAGGTATAGCGCGCGATGGTTTTTTTTTTTTTGTTTTTGTTTTTTTTTGTTTTTTGGCCATTGACCCTCGCATCTGCGGTCAACTTGACACGTCAAGGGGTGCATTGGTACTTATTCGAGGCGATTTGCGTCCCACGCGCCCGCTGCGCCCTGGATAGTTGTTGCCCCAAAAGAGCATTGGCATGGTGTTGGCGTTTGCCGGTTTGGGTGAGGTCGTGGGTGCCCTGGGTCTCTCAAGCCTTTCAGACCGAGTCGGATGCACGGCCCTCCTCTGGTTGGCCTCGCTGACCCATGCGGCCTCCATGGTTTTGGCCATCATGCTCAAAGTAAGCCCGTCAACATGCCAATAAAAGCTGCCGCCTCACAGCAGCTCCATTGCCAAGACCCTGCCGTTTGTCGTTCACATGATCGCACGCAGGCTCACTTTGTGCTTGTACGATTGGTTTTCTTTTTTTCTTTTTTCTTTTTTTGATTGCATTGCGCTTTGCCTTTGAACAGAATTCAGGCCTGCCAGGGCCCGGGCCGGAATGGCTTGGAGTGTCGTGGATTGCGTACATGGCGAGCTTTGGGTTTGGTCTCAGTGATGCCCTCTTTAACACACAGTGCTACGCGCTGATCGGCAAGATGTTTGCGCCAGAACATGCCGTTCGCGCCTTTACCGGCTTTCAGCTCTTTCAAAACATTGGCTCGGCTGGCGGGTACTACCTCGGTGTACCGCTCCCCATGCATGGCGACAAGGGCTCGCTGGGCCAAGTCTGGATCCAGCTCTTCCTTCTGGTCACCGGCACCCTCCTCTACACCTGGGCTGACCTTCGTTATGGTCGACGCCCACCCACGACCCCCGATGTCCGCCACGAGATTGACGGAGCCAGCCTTGACCCCCACCCAACCAACACGAGCTCCTCGACCTAACGCCGGCTCCCTGTCTGCCAAGAAGCAGTGCACGTCGCAGAAACAACACACACACATGCCTTGCCGGCATGCGCGCTTACGCAATTCCCGCTCTGAACTGGACTTTTCGATGTAAACTGAAACAATTGACACACTTTCGTTGAGACGACTTTTCGAGGTACACACACACACACACACACACACACACAGAAAGAGATTTAAAAAAAAAAAAAAAAAAAAAAAAAGGGCAGCGCCGCCATGTGACTCGGAGTTGGCCAGATGGGATCTGGAGGGCATTGGATGTATGAGTGAGAGAAGAAACTTTGGGGAGGTGCTGGCTTGCGGTGGGGGTCGGGTGATGAACGAGGTGGATTTGGGTCAAGAGTATTGACTGACCAACAACCCCGCCCCCCTGGACCGGAACGGCAACCGGGTGGACTCATGGGCTTTGAGACAGGTGGTTCATGTGGTTTGTGGTCGGCTCATCAGGCCCATTGCTGTGCGCGATGACTTGAAATAGCAGGGGTCTGCTGTGTCTTTCTCGCAAGCTTACCAGCACCATGACGGATTGGCATGCGCTGGTCGCTCAGCATGCCGAGCGGCGCCATCACTTGGACAAGGGCAGCGCTGCCTTTATTCATTTTGCATCCCAAGGATCCAAAAAGGTAGTGCGCTGCGTTGTCTCACGCAAATTCATACGAGGGCATATGCCCCCTTGAGCTGATCAAGCTCGTGCCACCTGCCTCCCTGTATGCTTCGTCAGATCAACGTTTTTCATGAGCCCTGGTGCAAGCTGCGCTGGGGCAAAATTCAGGCAGATCGGTACCTTGCTCCATCACCCAAGGTCTGTTGCTGACATGTGTGGAACAACCTACCCTGCTCCTCATCTGCATCTGCCGCTGACTCATGGTGGCGTGTGCGCGGCGCCCAACCTGCACCAGGGTGCCTTTATCATTCGAAAGGCATCGCAGCCAGGCGAATTCGTGCTGTCTGTGCAAGCCGGCGTGCGCGTGTGCCATGTGCTGCTGAAGGTGTGACTGTTTTTTCACCCGCCAGCTTTATGCAAACCTCTTGGGCTGCACCCTGATGTCTCATAGAAACCCTCATTGCTCACCGCCTTTGGGGGGTGGCACAGGTCATCTGTGGCGAGGACGAACGCGTGTTGTATAACATTTATCCGACGCCACAATGGTTCGAAAGCCTCTTCGACTTGGTGGGTGCTACTGGCTTGTTCTTGACATGTACTGCACCCACAGTCAGACCTACATAGTGTGCTAGCTTGGGATCATGGTCTGTACTTGAGCTCATTTTTTTTATCATGCTGGGGGCAGGTTTTATTTTGCTCTTTCCAGCCCTTTATGTTTCGTAATCTACACGGCACGGAGCCCATTACGCTGAGTCTTGAGGCTTCCAGCAAAGCCCATCGTCTCAACCAAATTCTGCGCGCCAAGAACGCCGAGGGCAAAGCAGCTGCATCGCAGCGCCATGGTCCGTCTGCCCGAGGCGAACCCTCGTGTTCAAAAGCGCCATCCAACCACGTGTTTTACCAGGTGATGGCTCAATCCGTGTCTGACGACAACCAACTGTGTCTCCATTGCACGCCTAATTAGGAGAAGCAGACGAAGACCCGGGTGCCATTCTGTTCCGTGGGTACTTGACCAAGCAAGGCCGGGTCCGCAAAACGTGGAAGCGCCGCTTTTTTGAACTCTCCGATGATGGTCACCTTCGCTATTTCACGGTACGCCTGCCTTTGACTCCTCTGCCGCATCACGCACACACACACACACACACACACACACACACACACTTGCACGCTTGCACACTTGCACACGTGCCAGTACCTCTGACTTGCTTGCTTACATGGACGATCATTTCAACCTCGGCTTAGGTCGCGGGTAAGGACAAGGAGCAGGGCTCGCTTAACCTCAAGAAAGTTCGCGCCGTCATCCCGGGTGCCAAGTAAGGCTTGGACTTTTGTTAGGCTAGCTCGTGGCACAGGTCCAACGAGGTCTCATGGGTGGCGCTGCGACGATAGATGTGTGGTGCAATGGCATCCCCAGGCCAACCCCAACTACTGCTTTGGGATTCTAGCCTGTGATCGCGAGGTCTGTCTCTTCACCAACTGCCGCCAACAAAAGCGTCAACCAAGCTTCTTTTTGCTTCTTCACGCGCCCTATCTCATGCCTGGCCTACCCCGCAGCTGTTCTTGTTTGCAGACACCAAAGATGAGCTGCAGGGCTGGCTGCAGGCGATCCGCCAAGTTGTGGATGAGAAGTTTGTGACCATCACTACCCCGTACGTCAACCCGACCAGTGACCACCGCTCTGTGCTCTTGAATCAGATGGCCTAGTAATGACCACCGCCACCATGTTACTCGGCGGAAATGTAGAGAGGACATTCGTCGCTTGGCCACCGAGGCCACTCAAGGCGCCCCAACCAAGCAACACGAGGCTGAGCGCCGCATCACGCTGCGCGTCTTCCGCAATGGATCGACCGCTGCTGGCATTTATGTGGAGGTGCCCAAGGATGACTTGGATGGTGTCAAGGCCGCCATCTCGCCGCGCGTAAGTTTGATCAACTGTGAGTTGACGGTGTGTATGACAAAGCCCTGTCTCACATTGGCCGTTTTTGCTAGGTTGGTTTTCCCGTCGTGCGCATCTTCAACCAGGTTGGCGGAGAACACACCGTGCCAGAAACACTGCGAAAAGACGACATTGTTTTTGTATCCTCTGGCTCATCATTTGTTGGCATGGCTACCGCTGCTCGTGGTACGTGCTCCCCACCCGCTGAGCGCTGCCCACGCGCATTGAAAGCATGTACCTTTGACTTTGCTTTCTTCCTTTCTTTCGTTCTTGTCTTTCTCTTGTTCATTCGAATGCAGGCGAAGTTGAGTATGATGCAGGCCGGGCTGTTGACGAATACAATGATGGCTATGCCAGTGTCGATCCTATGCGGGCCGTGCCCAAGGGTGGCCACTTGCAAGGTTATGCTGACGTGAGCCTCCTTGATCAAGACAGCTCCAACGGCACCTCAGCGCAAGCCACGTTCGTTGTCGCCAGTCCTTTATGCCTCACCTGCAACTTTTTTGGTTCAATGAAGCAGCTCACACCCCTTGCCCGGCGCCATTTTTTGCCTCAATAGAACGAGTGTCGATTCAGAGGACGAGGATGCCGAGATTGATGCATGTACGTGCCAAAATTCTCTTTGTTGGCCACCGGCCTGTTACCTCACCCCTTCTCTCGCGACCGTGCCTACATTTAGATCACAAACCCAAAGAACAATATCAAAATGTTTGCTTTGATGACAACGATGCTGAAAACGACGCATACCTTGAGACGGACATTGCAGATAATGAAGTCCTGCACACGACTTCGGCCCAAACGTCAGAGTCCCAATCCTCTGAGCCAGCGATGGCTGCTACCCCCACAACTGTTCCCGCAGCAGCCACAACTGGCCCTGTTGAGCCTGAAGCTGCTGAGCCTGAAGCTGCCGAGACCGAGGCTGTTGAGCCTGAAGCTGCCGAGCCTGAAGCTACCGAGCCTGAAGCTACCGAGACCGAGGCTGTTGAGCCTGAAGCTGTTGAGCCTGAAGCTGCCGAGACCGAGGCTGTTGAGACCGAAGCTACCGAGACCGAGGCTGTTGAGATCGAAGCTGCCGATCCTGGAGCTGCCGATCCTGGAGCTGCCGATCCTGGAGCTGCCGAGCCTGAAGCGGCTGAGACCGAAGCTGACGAGACCGAAGCTGCCGAGCCCGAAGCTGCCGAGCCCGAGGTTGCCGAGAAGGCGACTGAAGCCACTGAGCCCGAAGTGACCCAGACCGAACCCGAAGCCACCGAGCCTGAAGTGGCAAAGGTCACTGATGAAGAAGAGAGTGACGTGTAACTCTGCTCCTTCCCCCTCCTGAATTCCCGTTGTCGTAGGCTGGATGTTTCTGGCTGCGGACCATCTCAATTTTACGCATACTAACCGCAAAGGGTTTTCAACCTACTCGAGCTGTCGTAAAGCTTCACTCCTCCCCCCCCTTTTCCGTCAACCAAAAACCCTGAATGCTCATCTCTAGCCGCCAATAGCCCGCCAAGGGTCGAGTCACACACGCACACACACACACACACACACACACACACACACACACACACACACACACACAGATAGCAAGCACCGAAACAATTTCTTGTTTTTGACTTTTTGCTTCATGCATTTTTGTTTTTTTATTTTTTTTTGTGACCCAGTCGTGTTGGCGTCGATGCTTCTCGCTTCGCGGGACGTCATGCTGGCTGTGCACCTTCTCCTGGCATTTGAGTGGTACCAGCTGCTGAGCAGCTATGGCTCCGTACACTGGTGTGTGCAAGGTTGCTCGATATGTCAACGTGCGTGCCTCTTTTGCAGCAGGAATGCCCGATCTCACTTGCTCACTTGGCCGCTAGGCTAACCAGCAGCTGCTTGGACCCAAAAGCTGCCCTTCCCTCGCGGAGCTGCCCCACCCCTGGCTGGCAGGCCACATTGCAGTCGCCGCAAGGCGCACTGGCACTGGCCACGGCTCTGCTCCTGTTGCACGGCGTCCTAGGTCTCGCCACTCGCCCATCATGGCGGCGACTGGTCCTTCGGCTGGTGACCCTGGCTGGCACGTTCTGGCAACACCGGATTCTCTCCACGCTCACGTCGGGTGAAGACAAGGCCATTCGCTGGATCCTTCTCTTGGACGTGCTCGGGGAAGCGACCATGCTTTTGCCTGTCGGCCGTTCTGGCATGCACAATCGTGTTGTGCGGTCGCTGCGCGCCTTTGCACGCCTGCTTCTAGCTCTTCAGCTCAGTGTGCTCATCGCCGCCCCCTTGTATCATCATTGGTCCTCCGAGACCTGGCAAGATGATTCAGCAGCCTGCTGGATTTACGCTGGCGAATCGGCGCGCCACGGCCGAGCCTTCGACTGGTTGCCCACGGTACTACCCCGATCATTGTGCACGGCGCTGACCCAGGCCTGGCGCTCAGCGGACACCGTGGCAGCCTTGATGTTTGCCGTGACGCCCACCCTCATGGCCGCGCCCAGCGACGTGGCAACATTGCCTCCCATTTTGGGTCGCCTGGCCACCTGGACCGTGGCCTTGTTCATGGGTTTCATGGCATGGGACTGGCGCTGGGCTTTCATTCTCGTCGCAGGTCAGGAAGCCCTGTTGCGTCTTTGCTCTCGTGCTTCGGAGCCACAGATCTCCCAATCCCGGAGCAAGTGGTGGCTTACATCAGCGGTGGCAGCTAGTCTGTTTATAACAGCCGTGATCTTTGGGATGGCCGTAGCCCGCCACGACCTAAACCAAGACGTGACACTCTCCGAGCCCTTGACTCACATTCAACACGAGCTAAAGCTGTACCAAGGCTGGCGACATTATCAGCGACCCGGTCCGCAAATGCCCGTGCACCGATGGCAAGTCAATCTCTTGCATGCCCCACCGTCAGCAAGCGGAGACAATGATGCGCAGCGCTGGGAGCGAGCCACATGTTACAACCTACTCAACGTGAGTCAACAGCAAGCACCCATCCTTGACGGACCGGCTGCAAACTGCGACGGCCCAAGCCAGTATACCGCTGATCCCATGCTGGAAAAGCTATTTCAGCGCATTCAAGACCTTGACATGCAAGCTGAAGACACCTTCATCAAGCAGCTCAAGCCCACGTGGTGCCAACATGCTGTCCAAGCGCTGCGCGCCCGCAAGCCGTCTGCTGACCCGAACCAAAGCCTAGACGAGTTTGCTGTTCGTGTGCGCCACACTGTTGGGTCAGTAGCGTGGCAGGAGCGCACAGACAACTATGAGTATCGTCACGTGGCCACCCAGCTCGGTGTACTCCACATGTGCGGGTCGCTCATGAAGACTGCGGCCTAAAAAGCCGGGGGCCCTAAAGTAGAGCCCGAGATGTGGCAAAGTATTGTTGTGATCCAGTTTTCTGCCTTCCTTATTGGCAGAGAGAAAAGATGCGGGACGTTTGTGATGATGGCATTTGAATGAATTCAGGAGCCTTAGCAAGACAAGGCGGCCCCCGGTGCGGTTGCGGCAAGCGTGCTGGCGCGCTGACCGCCACTATGGAAAATCATCGAATTGAATCTCAGTGGAAGCCTCCCAGGCATCGTCGCCGGCGCCCACTTGACGGGCATAACACACATTGGTGGCGAAAAAGCCGCTATTCTGCCAGCCACCCATCTGTTCTGAAGTAAACGGGCCAAAAATCTGGATGGCAATAGGTGTATGAGTAGATAGTTGCGGCGTGCAGTCACTGGGCACAAGCATGCTGACAAGCAGAACCCGCACACCTGTGCCCCGTCCTCGTTGTTCCATCGGTATTCCCACTTGACGCCAAGGTCTTCAAGGGCTGCTTTGCGCAGTGCTCTACGCGGAAGTGAGTGTTTTGTGAGGTGAGCGTGGCAATCGCAGTGAGGCGGGCCGACGCCACGCACTCTTTCTGTTCATTTGCTTCGGCCTTTGCCTGACGCTCCTGTTGATGAGAAGACACATGGGATAGACCATGCTCAATATGAGAGGCGACACAAGCATTTTTGAGGGAGAAGATGAATTGAGGCATGCCTTGCAGACCAACAAGGCCTGACCTCGCGTGTTCGACGAACGGCCAAATCCACGCGTGGAGAGCATTCGCGGATATGCTAAGCACACCATGTGACATGAATTGGGGTGAGGAATTGTTACAGCGCAAGGCAATCAAGGAGCAAAAAGAAGGGAAAAGGGAAGAGGAGAGGACCCCGGTACAAGATGCAGCGCCGTACCGGACGATTGAGTCGGCACCAATCCTTGCAGTGCACAGCTGAGCAAGCCGAAGGAGAAGAGCATAGAGTCAAAAGTGATGTCCAGAGGTGAGGGCACGAAGAAGCAAGGCTGTGACAGGATGTGCTTCCCTCCAAGACTGGGACCAGTCACATACCTGTCTGGTGCTCCTCAAAAACAATAAAGGCAAAGCCCTTGGAGCCGCCGAGCTGTCGCAGAAGAACGAGACCAAGAGGGTTAGGAGGGTAAGAAAGGCGCCCGTGATGGACAATGGCAATGAATGGACAAGTAGTCGTGGGCATACATCGTCGCGAATCAGTTGAACATCGAGGATTTTGCCGAAGGATTGGAAAAACTTGAAGAGATCCGACTCGTCGATCTGGTGCGTCAGGTTGCCGACCCAAATTTTGCAGTCTGTCCGTGCTCTGTCGACATCGCCGCCATGAGCAAGTCCATGAAAACGCGTGCATGCCAGTGTGTACTTGACCCAAGGGGGTCAACCCTGACGCCATGTCACACGAGTTGGGCAGCTTCAAAGGATAGGGCAAGAATACCTGGCACGCTTGTCTTGCGGGGCCTGCACCTTTTCGGCGTGGGCCTGTTCGGCTGCCCGCTTGGCCTTGAGCCGATCAGTCGGTTCCTTCTCTGCCAACTGAACGGGTGGTGACACCAACCCCGGAAACAGAAGACATGTTAGTCGGGTGTAGACAGAAGCATCGACTCACAAGCTAGGAGCCTGGTCATCGAGACAGTGGATGACTCTTACCCTTCGAGACGACGCGACCGCCTGAGCCAGGTGATCGGCCTTTTCATACGACCAACCGTATGTCGTCATGCTGTCGATCCAACGCACGCTTTGCTCCTCGCAAAATTACAACCGCCGCGTCCCGCGCAGGCACCCGCCCAACCTGCCAGCCACAGCCACAGCCACGGCCTCTCTCTCTCTCTCTCTCGCTCTCTCTCCCGCACACACACGAGAACGCCAAGCACGACCGATGTGCACACACACACACACACCAAAACGCTTCAAAAAAAAAAAAAAAAATCAGAGAGAGAGAGACAGTCAGACTTTTATCAGAATTTATTTTTTTATTTTTTTATTTTTTTTTGTTTTTTTTTCTCACTTTATGATGTGCTGGAGCTTGGCAGGATTGGGATGTGATTAGTCATGTATGATACAGCGCGTCAGTGCGTGCTCGGTTCACCTTTTGGATAGCATGATGTGAGGTGTGTGAGCTTGGCCCTGACCTGCTACCTTTGCTAATGAGTCGGAACTCTTAGTCACGGGTGTTTTAATATCTGGGTGCATCTCTAACGATCGGCAGGGCCTGTTTGATGCTTACTAATATGCTCACATCATCGATTAGAGTATAATATGGTGGTGGAATAATCAGGCTTGGTCTGGTAAAATGCAGTGAGATCATCTCAAAGCGCGTCTAGCAACAGCGCAGACAGCTCCCAGAGGTATGATATGCTCACATGCTCTGGTCAAGGCCGCTCATTTCGAGCCTCCAAAGAAGCGCGATTTCTTGCCCGGCTGTTGCTTGTCATTCGCGTCTTCGGCTTGCTCGACTAGCGTTTCGACTTGGCCTTGCACGGTGGTGAGTTGACTCTCGAGGCGTGTGACCTGCTCGCGCAGCGCGCGAATTTCTGCCAGCAATTCGTCAACGCCAGGGCCCAGGGTCGGGGCAGCTGGGGCACTCGGGGCCGGGGGTGGAGGTTCAGTGCCGTCGCTTGCGCCACCAATCGCGTGCCACACTCCAAGTAGCTTGAGTTGTTCCTCGACCATCGCAAGCCAGGATTGATCCTGCTCGTAGTCGGGCTTGGGCTCGACGTACAGCTTGGCGCTCATGAGCATGGCCAACCAGCCATCAGGTCGGTAGCCAGGTTGAACCTTGAGGAAAAGACACTCTTTCTTGGCATCATAGATGTAGTTGCCCTCGGCGTGGCAGTTTCCAGACTCTTTTACTTGCTCGAGGCGCCGACGAGGATGACCGCCGCACCCTCGATGGCGTCAGCCATTCGGTCGAGCATATTGCCAGTCATACGATCTACATCCATCCACACGCGTACGCCACGCGACTCCAGGTACTTCTTTGCCACCCTAGAGAGCGAGTGCACAATCAGTGTTGGCGCGTGGCGGCTCACAGGGGTTCACGGGATACAGGCGTGGCAAGCAGGCAGGTAACGCACAGCATGATGTTTTGGTGGCCCCAATTGTAAGAGATCATGAGGTGCTGACCCCCGGGGGCAGGCGTGGGTGCCGGCGCAGGCGCAGCTAGCGGGGTGGGCGCTTCGGAAGTTGCTGGCTGGTTTGGAGGGGTGGCGGTGGTGGCAAGCGAAGGCTCCGTGGGGATGGCGGCGGCGGTCAGCTTGCTTTTGGCAGTCTTGGCCTGGATGTAAGACAGGGCCCCCTCCAAAGTGTGGCGCGTTTCTGGGTCGACGGCGTTGGCAGGATCGTTGACTTGGCGCTGAATCAAGGCCACAGCATCAGGGATGCGCCCGACGACGTCATAGTTGAAAGCCATGCTATACAGGCACTCGACGCCCGAATTGCGAGCAAGTCGAAGGTATTTGGCCGACTCGCCGCCAAACCATTCGCTGTCACTGCGCCGCAGGCACTGGGCAATGTTCTCCATACAATTGGCATTGCCCCAGAGCAAGGGCTTGTTGGTGTCGGCGGTACTGAGGTTCGCAATGGCTTTGAGGGGTGCCCCAATGCTCCACTCACGCTCGCCATACTCGACATTCTTGACGGCCGCGTCCAGCACCTTCATCACGTCGTCAATAGCCCCGGAAAGATCGGTGGAGGCATGCTCATGGGGCCCGTACAGATTGGCCAGGGCCAGGTAAGCCGGGCTGCGGCCCATGGTGGAGCGAGCAATGTACTGGTGCATGACGGCGACAAAGTCAGCGTTGAGTTGATCTTCGCATGCGTCATGCCCGAGAAAGCCAATGACGTTGGAATAGAGGGTGACCAGCTCAGGACCTATTCCATCCTCTTCCACGGCCCGCTGCAGGATGGGAAGGTACGTTGCAATGTGGTCCACGAACAGCCGGCCCAATTGCGCCTTTTGCTCGTCTGTGCCCACCGCAAAGAGGTAATTGAGAAGCATGACGACGCCATCCAGGTCGCTTAGCTCATCCGTTGGTCGCAGGACACGGGTCAGGTGCTCCACCACCTGCGTGCCCCGCGCGAGCAGATGGGCCGTGGCCGACGCATCGCTAGCCGTTCTATCAATGGCCTCACAGGCACGATCCACAATGGCAAACCCATCGCTCACCGTCTGAATACCCAGTAATTCATCAACCCGCTCAGGCCCCATCAACTCATGACCCCCCATCCTGCCCGATGCCGATGCCGATGCGGTTGAGAGATGAGAGGGCGCCGGAATGAGAGAGAAATGTGTGTGTGTGTGTGTGTGTGTGTGTGTGTGTGTGTGTGTGTGTGCGGGTCTTGACAACCAATATCAAATTTTAAATTTTTAAATTTTTACATCAGCAAATTTTAATGCACATGTCAGCTGTCATGGAAAGCAACAACCCCACCCCAGACAGGGAGGGGGCCATAGCCGGGTTAAATGAGATTTGCGGGCTGAATATAAAGCAAGCCACGGGCAGCTGCAAAAGCTGGGATATACACGGCTGCCGCACGGCGGCAAGAAAAAAAAAAAATTACGGGAAATTGTTATTATTACGGAGCTCTTTTGACTCGATCTAGGAACGCGCTTTCCCCTTGCCAACTCAGAGCAAAAACTACCAAATGAAAACTTCAGATGTGGTGGTCCGTGTTGAAGGAGTGCGAATCAGACCTAGAGGCAAAGGCCACCAGTCGAGGGTGAGGCAAGTGTGGTGTCGAACCAAGTCCAGCCAGCTCGCCCACACCAGGTGACATACGTTCACGCTCCTCGTTCTCAGCAAGGTAAAAGCCCCTGCAAAAAGACCGAAAAGACCGAGCCAGCATGTGAGAAGCAGCAGTGCCCACGGTGCAAAGGCACCCTTGTGCGACGGCAGGATTATACGGGTGCCGCAAGCAAATATCACGGCTGCTCACAAATCAGAGGAAAGGCTGGGCAAAAGCCTCGTCAGTAGCAGGGAGCTGCCAAGCGCCAGCGTGCCCGCCAGTGCATGCGATACAAGCAAGAGTGCAAGGCCACGGCTACATGCATGGAAGCAGACATGTGAATGGGGAGGTTACTCCCGCCTCGTTGAGTCACGAGCATGGTGACTTACAGGCCAGCACCACAAAGGCCGTCGATGGCGCGCACGTAGATTTCGTGGGACGTAGTGCACGTCACCACTGAGCTTAAACCTTGTATCGAGACATGGAGCGCAGCCCATTCTCCTTCAATGAGCGCCTATTGACGTGTTCGTTGTCGGCAGCACGGGAGCGGAAAGGGACCAAGGGGTAAGTAACAGGGCCAGAACTGCACCAGCCATTGATGGCCGGCCCTCATGCACCTTGTTTGGGTCGTCCGGCGCAGCAGCCAGCAGAGCATCAATCTGCGCCATGTAATCCAGCGTGTCGTTGAAAGGCCGAGCAAAGGGCGACACTATCATGGGCACAAGCCACACCATCCAGCCTTGGTCAGAGCAGCGCTCGACAGCCGGCAAGAAAAGCCAAGAGCAGCGACGCGACGGTGGGGGTGACAAACAAACACACACCCGCGGTTGGTGCACACGCAATGTAGTAGCTGGCAATGCTGGAGTCGAGTGTTTTCATGGCGTAGCTAACATTGCCGGGCATCGATGTGACCGCGCGTCAGTGTGGTAGGATCTTGGGTTCGCGAGCAGGCTTTGGGTGTAGCGTGTGGGCTTACTCGTTGGGATCGGAGCAGAGGTCACTCATGGCCACGGACAGGGCCAGCTCGCCGCCGCTCAGGAAGAAGCACACGGTAAAGGCCAAGTACAGGAGTGCAACGCCCCTGCAATCCACGTCAGAAGACATGGCCCGACAGGAGTGAGGAATGAGTTGCGCTGCGCTGGCCAGCGCCACGTGATGGTTCAGCTGGACATACAGTTTGGAAAAGGGCCGGGACGCCATAGCGTAGGCCAAGCCCGCAGATACGCCGAGCACGGTGATGGTGACGGAGAAGGCAAGCGTAATATCAGCCCGCAGCGCGTTGTAATGGTCAATATCCTTGTTCATAAAGGTTGGGTCATACTCGTTCATGTCCACGACAATCGTGTTGAGCTCCAAGTGGACGCGCCCCAGGCCCGAGCTCAGCTCATCTACCAGCTACGCAACCACAGTTGGGCAGCAAGCCAAGCGAGGTTCAGGCCCAATGACGATTTTCCATGCGTCATGAGGTCAAATAGAGAGCTTTCATCGATACAAGAGCGGTGTCGCGCTCTCAGCCCCTGGTACGCACCTCGGTTGGCCAGGTTGTGGCCTCCACGGCTGTCTCGAGGCGAACGGCCGCATCAGAGGTATTGCTCACCGTGACCTGTAGATGAATTAGCTCGTCTTGCGCATCGTTGGTGGCATTCAACAATTCGCGGACGCCGCGTTCAACGTTGTGGTTGCCCACAAAAGCAATGGCTGCAGCAATCCTGTTGTTGTTGTTTCCCAGAGCAACAGGGCGGCCCGTCAATGCATGCAAGATTCAGGAGGGACATCGTCAATGCGCGAGACCGCTGGGTGCAGCAGCTTACAACCCAAGGAGGATGGTGAGGACGAGGGCCACTCGTTCCTTCGTCAGTCGTGGGGGCGTGATCAGCTTCAAGTTGGGCCGAAATCCACCGCAACAGCAAATCTTGATTGCAGCGCTACATGGGACCAGGGGCGGGGGCGCGGTGAGGGCTCGAGGGATTGACATGCCACGGGTGCCTCGACTTTAGCACGTGTGACGGGTGACGAACCGTAGGACTACCACCAAGGCCACGAGGCACCAGGGCCAAGCAAATTGAACAAGGGCTTGGAGGTAACGTGTGCTTTCGGGTGCAAAGTCATGCGCGATCGGGCGAAACTGGGCGTCATAGTGGGCCATTTCGTGGAAAAACCGCGCTGTGGCGGTGGGAGTATGGTTACTCATGCTGGCGTCCAAGACATCCACATTCCCCAGCAGCCATTCGTCCGCCCCGTCAAGCCATCGGGCGCTGACGCCCACCCTTCAGAGAGCGAAAAAAGTGTCAGGCAAATGAATGAATGTGTGTGTGTGTGTGTGTGAAAGTTTGAGTTTGAACACGCGCGAGTGTGCTGATGTGTGGTGGTTATTACTCATCTAGACAAGGGTTGTGATGTGGGAGGGTGTGCTCGGTGTGAGGAGGCAATGGCTGTGGTGGCATGCGCCACCAATGCTTCACCCAAAGGAGTCGATGTGGCCTTGTTCCATCCAAAGTATGCAGACAAAATTTGAATTTAGTACTTTTTGGGTGATATGGTTGCGGCATGCATCAAGTGGACCACGGCAGAGGGTGCATCCCTTCTTTGAATGCTTGAGCCGCCATTTCTCAAAGGCAAAACAGGATAGAAAAGAAAACAGGAGATCGGTTTGGCGGGGGTCCATTTACTTCTTTGCCTTTTGCTCCTGTCGAAGCGCGGAACCAGACCAAGGAGGCCACAATGAGGGCACATGGGCAACAATGAGAGCACGAGACACGGCTCGACACTCGGCCAGCAAGCAGGGGGTGCAGTTTGTGCTTGCAAACATACGGCTTCGGTGCGCTTGGCGCGGAGCTCCTGCTCCTTCTGCTCGGCCGCCTCCTCGCGGGTCTGGCAGTCCTTTACAAGCTTTGTGTAACGCTCACTAGTGAATCAAAGGTTGAGGCATGTCAAGGTCAAGCGGCGCAACCAAGTCACCAAAGCCACCAACGGAGACACAGAGCGCGAGCAGCGGCTCGGCCCGGCGGTTGGCGCGACAGAGCAAAGGTTCACGGACATTTCTTTGGTGATGTAGTCAATGCGCTTGGCCACATTGGCCTTGGCCTCGTCCAGGTCCTGCTTGAGCAGGGCTGGGCCTACGAGTTTGAACACAACCTCCTCCTCACTCTCATCCACGAGATCCAGTTCCTGAGGCGTTGAAAACCAGCACATGACACATAAATCAGTGTGGCGCGGGGCAGGGGTCCCCATCACCGTCAATACGTCCAAATTGTCTTGTCAAGTGGGATACCTGAGCCACAAGCTTGTTCTCGCCTAGCTGGGTGTTGAGCTGGTCAATTGTCGTCACATGCTTGCTCTTTTCTGCTCGATACCCCCAATTCCGGCCAGAAGGGCACGGTCGAATGAGGTCATGCAGAGACAAGCAGCCAAGCCAAGGGGGAAAAAAAAAGCACAAGCCGTACCAGACTGGATGCTCGAGATTTCATCAATAATCTTTTGATGCTGCGACTGCAGCTCCTTGAGCTTGGCCGCCATGATGCTTGCAAACTGTCTTGGAAGCGCTTGCTGATCTGCACCATGCGACGCGACCGGCCACACACCGCAACAGCGAAGCAACAAACCGAGTAGAGCAGAAGATGGATCCAAAAGCAAGTGAGCGAGCCCATAACAGACAGACAGAGAGAGAAGGTGGAAAGGGCCGGCCTTTACATCCCACAGCCCGCCTCGCATTAGCACCCCGCGCTGCCCTTTTGCACTCGTTGATCTCCTTTTCTGAATATTTTTCTCTCTCTCTCTCTCTCTCGCGCGCTCTCTCTCTCTCTGATGGTCACTAACCGGGTCGATGAGATACTGTAACATTTTTCACACTTTAACGACCAATACCTGTTAGTGTGAATGTTGTTACACTTGGTATGTGTGACGAGAAGAAGGGACACGATGTTGAGTCGTGTTGTTGTTTTACCTTTGGGCCGGTGCTTCACGCTGCGCTCGACTCTTTTGTCTCTGTGTGGGTATCGTCTCTCTGTACCAGCACTTGCGATAGCTGCTTTCTCTAGAGCTTTCTCCTCAATTGCTTACACCTCTGCTTCCTGCTTACAGGTCCCGCCTTGTGAGAACATCTCCACCTCTACATCTCTCATCGCCTCTCCACCTCCCATCCATCCCTCTTGGCCCTTGAGGCATATCGACTCCATCTCTGACCCGCGCTCGTCTCTTTTCACTCTCTCTCTCACACCGACAGACAGCCAGACCCGACAGAATGGCAGCCTCCATGATCAAGGCGGCAACGGCAGCCGTATCGGCCGGAAACATGATGCGTGCGCAGGCTGGTCGTGTGGGTACTGCCGTGGCAGCACAGCGTCGCCTACTTCACGCTGCAGCCCCGCTGCGCGGTGATAAGCTCTTTGTGGTCAGTCGTTGCAGCCCCCCCGCTCCCTGTCTCTTGCCCGCTTGCTTGCTCCTGGTCGTCTGTCGGTGTGCAGCCCGGCAAGGCCTCGGCCTGAGCACTGTGTCTGGTTTCCGTGAGTGTAATGTCAATGCCGTCCCTTTTCGGGAAGTGGCTAACGTCTGTCTGTCTGTCTGCCTCTCAACTCCCTTCTTTTCGGTGCACAGCACCGTGACACTGAGAAGAACAACTCGAGCATCGCTTTTGAGTTTACGCCTGAGAACATGAAGGTCGGTTGTGGGCACTACCTCCCCCCAAAGTGCTCACGCACCTCTGCAGTATCCCATCTCGTGCTGAGGCGCCTTTTCTCGCCCATGTGCTCAAATACCTTACGCCCCTTCTCCGGTGTGTTATGTTCCTCCGAGAACAGAAGGTCGAGGCCATCACTGCTCAGTTCCCGCCCGGCCACCGTGCCGCCGCCTGCATTCCCGTGCTGGATCTGGCCCAGCGCCAATACGGCGGTACGCTCGCAGCACGCTTCTGCTTGTTTTGCGCAACGGTTCTTGGAACACATACACATGCGTGAGCGCACAGAAAGAGAGCACCGTATCTGCTGTTGGTCTCACCTGTTGGTTTGCTTCGCATCAGGCTGGTTGCCCATCTCCGCCATGGATGAGGTCGCTCGCGTCCTGCAGATGCCCAAGATCCGTGTGTACGAGGTGGCTTCGTTCTACACCATGTTCAACCGCGACCCCGTCGGCAAATATCACGTTCAAGTGTGTACCACCACGCCGTGCATGGTTCGCGGTGCCTACAACATCTTTGAGCATCTTCAGAAGAAGCTTGGTGCGTGCAGACTTCCGCCTTCCTCTCGCGCCACACGACCGTCGCTCCGACCTGGCTCTTGGCTCTTGGACCGTGCTATGCCTATCCTACCCCGGCCTTGCTCATGTCACTCCTCATCGACCGTCCTCTCTCCTATCGATCTCTTGCAGGCCTGCACAACGGCGAGACGAGTGAGGACGGCATGTTCACGCTCCTCGAGGTCGAGTGCCTCGGAGCCTGCTCCAACGCCCCCATGATCCAGATTAACGACGAATACTACGAGGATTTGGAGTTGGCCGACGTGGATCGCATCATTGAGGCGCTGCGCAAGGGTGAGACCCCCAAGCCTGGTCCCCAGAATGGCCGCAAGGCTGCCGAGCCTCTGGGTGGTCTGACTGCCCTGACTTCAGAGCCCGTGGATGGTGCTCACAAGTTCCGCACCGATGGCAAGCTCTAATGTGCTTTTCTCGGCGGTTTTCGAGGCTGGGCCACAGGCATGTGGGGCCTTACCTCCTCCATGCCCCCTTGTTAGTCTTGCCTGGTCCATCCCTTCCTTTTACCATGCCTCTTTCCTAGTCTCCCTCTCCTTTCGTCTCCTCTCCCCCCCCTTTTTTTTTGTTTGCGCTTGTGCTCCTATTACCCCTTGGTCGGTCAAGCCATTGGAGTTTTGTAATTCCGACAAGAGGAGGTCGGCATGGTGTTCGTCACCCACCGCGACAACGGCCCTGGTCATATCGCAACAACGCTTCTCCATTTCTTATCGTAGGCACGGTGTGCTCCCTTTGTGCTTTTTCTTTTCTTTCTCTCTTCTTTTTATGCTCGGCTGTAGACACTTTGCCGCAGCAACAAACTCCCCAGTGTCTTTGTTTTCTCCAAAATCGAAGGAAAAATTTATCCACTTGGTAGAATCGAACTTGTGCCGGGTCAGCACGTCAGGAATGAGAATCGAATTGAATGTTGGGGATGCCCATCACCGACATGTGGTGTCCAACATCAGGCGAAAGGCGGCGCTCTCAGAACGGCACCGAATGCGGCCTCCAAACAACCAAAACGAAAAAAAGAAAAAAAAAAGAAAGTGGAGTAAGATGTTTAGATGTGGAAAATGGGCTTGATGGTCTGATGGAGCTAGATAAACTCGAGGCCCTCCAGCTTTTCCTGGGATATGAGCTGATCAGGAAGTAGCACGGTGCCAGAGGCAATATCCAAAACTGACAGGAAGCTACGCGTGCCGTTGGCAAACTCCTCCGTCTTGAGGGCAATCAGCTAAGGACACGACAACAAATGATGGTGAGCTGAGGGAAGGTATCAAGCCGAGCAACGGCATGCCTGAGACAGAGCATGCTGTCCTCCTTCTCACCTCGGAGCCATCATAGCCAGGCACAAATTTGATCGAGCTAAATCCTCGCGCCGGGACGCGCTGGCCAATGGCCATGGTCGTCACAGTCTATGGGATGGCACCGAGAAGCACCCCGAGTCAAGTGCACTCTGCAAAATATGAACAGCAAAAAGAAGGCTTACCTTGAAGTGCTCATCCGCTGTCAGCACGAGGTTGGAGCCGCGCAGCAGGTCCTAGAACCAAAAAAAAAAAAATAAATAAATAATGAAATAACCCCCCCCCCCCCCCCCAAAAAAAAAAACAAAAAAAAAAAACACACACTGGGCGTTCAGGTTTGGTTGCCAGGGCGGCGTGATTGGCCATGATCAATGAGCCAAGAACCAACCAGGTTTTCATCGTAGGGTTGATTGGATACGCGACGAGGGCAAAAGACCCAGCGCTCAAGATACGACGACCAAGTGGCAGCCTCATGCCACAGGTACCTGTGAAATGGGGGCATTGGGTATTTACAATATCAGCACAGGGCCAGTAATGTCGGCTGGAAGGGAGAAGGGGGAAAGGAGAAGGGTGCAACACCGACCCGTTGATGCCCGTTTGAGCGGCAATTTGCAGGGCGTTGTAATTGAGGGTCCAGTTGACATGAAACAGAGCTCCCGAGGGGGAAATGACCTTTATCCATTTGGGGTCGGCATTGACGAAGTCGCCCGTGGGCGTGGTCCAATCACGACCAAGGCCACCAACAAAGAGCTGGCGGTTTTTGACGGCCATCCATTCGGCCTTGAGCCCCTTGCTCGAGACCCCGTTGCCATCCGAGAGGATGTGCCTGGGCACAAGGCGTTGCAAGTTCACAATTTCGTAGACAATGCCGGTTCGATCGTCAACCGTGTAAAGCTGTCATCGAGGCAAGCACATGTGTGGTGGTCAAGGCATACCGAGGACACGCTGTTGTCAGGGCATTGACAAAGGCGGGCCCGTACACGACCGTTGTACACTTGAAGTTCAGAGAGCTCAGCGCCTCGGCCTTTGGCGGCGAGCGAGGCTTGAAGACGACGGGGGCCAGCTGGATCGAATTCAATCTATTGGGCACAGCATTTCTTCAGACATGGCTTCAGAGGTGGTTGTCGGCAGGTGGGTGCACATGTTTTACCGAGTAGACGCCACGAGGGCTGCGGGTGAGAGTGGCTAGAAGGAGACGACTCTCCCAGGCCTATGCGATAAGAAGTATGTCAGCTGCGATGTCAGCCAAGCGGTGTGTGCGCGCACGTGGTCATGGTGGCGGGAGGACGGCGGGCTTGGCAAGGAGCGTACAGAGGAGGAAACTTGGCTGGCTTTGTCGGGATCAGCCACGAGGGCAAGGCGGAAGCGCCGAGTCCCATCAGGCAGCTGTACGGGGGTGGTCAGCGGATAGGTATCGTTGTAGCTGTGTTCACACCACGAAGCAAGTTTGGGTGTGTTGAGAAGAAGGTTCGGCAGCTACCTTGGAAGGGGTCGTGGATAAGCAAGACAAGGCTGAGGCCAAGAAGCGCAGACACGTACCGATCAAAGCCGACGGCAGGTACCTTGCCAGTAACGGTAGCTCGCGGCAAGGAGGCCGGGGCGTGTTGGCTGACCTGCAAGGCGGCAGCATGTGAGATCGGTTTCCCAATGAGCCGGCCGCGTCCACCGGGAGCTTCGATGTGCCTGGGTGGTGGCAAGAGGACACAACATCGAACCAGTAGCACGGCAAGGAGGGAGACGGCAATGATAAAGGCAATGACGCCAATGCGACGACGGGGCGGCGGCGGGGCATAAACGGAGGTTGGGAGGGGTGTCCGGACTTTGTTCCAGGACTGCATGATGGCGTTGTGGCGCTAACAACAGCGTGCGTGCTTGGCATGCGCGCAGGTGATCACTGCTGCTCCATTGTGGCCTCGCTACCGCGCGCCCTCGACCTCTGGCTCGATCAGGCTGAACACTACAACCAACAATCAGCAACGCGTCAGCAGCACAGCGGCGGCGGCGACGGCGGCAGCGGCGGCGGCAGTGGAAGTGACAGCGCGATCGTCCGCAGCTTCCAACTGCACAAACGTGAAATGTTTCTTCATAAACTTAGACTTTTACGGTTAACAAATCAGCGATTAGTGTGTGGAATCGTTCATTTACCTCCTGGTCGGTTGTCAGGCTGTTTGAGCCAACAATGCTGACAAGAGCCGTTGAGACGACGATTTACTTTAGAGGAATGTAGTTAAGTATGTCGTTTTCCGGATGTCAGCATTAAGGAGAAAAGAGGACATTGCCTGTAAAGGTCAGGCCGGAAAAACCACGTGGCAGCGATTGCCGTTTTTCTGCAAGATGGCTTGCAAGCGCCAAGCGAGTGAACGCAACCGAATGTGATCCAGAGTTACACTTGGTCGGTCTGCCCGCATGCCGATCGATCAGATGGAGAGAGAGACACACACACGCAGAGCGAGGTGCGGATGTTAGGAAGCGAGGCAGAAAGTGGCGGCGGGTGGCATGCGACGGGGGCAGCGTCTCGCCTGAGCAGGTGGGTGAGATTGAAGGATCAACTGCTGTCGACTGCTGGCCGTGCCGTGGCCTTAATGATCGTGTGATGATTCCTCAAAGAACCGCTGGAGAGAGGGAGAGCGAGAGAGAGCGTCCTGATTAGGCGCCAGTGCTTGTGATGTATGAGAAGTTATGGGCGCCTGTAACGTTCATATCTGAATGGCTAAACAGCTCGATAGATTGTGTTGTGTGGGGTGTGCTGAAGACTTGGACCGCCCATGTGCACATGGTTCTGAACGAGCTTGTCTCGATGCCAAGGCACGAGGTGATGAACCTCGTCGTCCTTTTTTTTTTGCTTTCTGAAGACCTGCCGCCGCCGCCAAACGCTCGAGGTCCCGCGAACACAAAAGATATGAGAGAGAGAGGAGAGAGAGAGAGAGAGAGAGAGAGAGAGAGAGAGAGAGCGAGAGAGCGAGAGAGCGAGAGGAAAGAGAGAACAAAAGAAGAGAACAAAAGAATCAGTCGAGAACAAAAGAGATCGAGAACAAAAGAATTGTAAAAGAAAGAACAAAAGAATTACATGAGAGAGCGAGAGAGAGGGAACAAAAGAAATTGAGAACAAAAGAAACGAGGTCACAAGCACAAAGGATAAAGGAAGTGTGTGTGTGAGAGAGAGAGTGAGTGTGTGAGTGAGTGAGTGTGTTCAGTGGCCTCGACTCAAATGCACTTTTTTCGTTTTCTCTCTCTCTGGCAGACAGACACTTTGGTTGTTCCTCTCTCAACGCGCGGGTGATCTTCTTTCGCTACTGGGACAGGATACAATGGCGGCCACCTCGTAAGTGCCTCCCGCCGGTCTGCTTCTACGCTGTGCCGTGCTGTCTCTGGTCCTGGATGGGACGGTGTTGATGGTGGTGGTGGAGGAGTGTGAGAGGGGCGGAGAGGGTGTGTATGTGTGGTCCCCCCTCCCTCGGCTTTATGGCTTCAACTGCCATCAGCGTGCCCCATCGTTGTGTGTGCGTTGGCTGGTTTGGGACCTCGCGCGCCAGCGGGGACAGCCAGATCCCAAGTCCAAGGGCCTTTCTCGTGTCGTCAGAAACACAACCATTCATTCCTCTGCCCTCTCCCATCTCCTCCTCCTGGACCTCTGCCCGTTGAGAAAGAAAGGGAGAATAAAAGTCTCGACTGCCTCGAGATTTTTTTTTTTTGGGAGGGCGGTGAAGTGAAGCATCTTGAGTTGCGACGCTCGTCGCTGTCCAGCCAGTGATGGCCAGACTCGGCCCATTCCGAGCCTCTCTCGTCCTCTGTGTCCCCTTATCCTCCTCTCGTTCTTTCTCTTTCTTTCAAAGTCCTGGTGCTACAGTTGAGACGGCTGTTGCTGCCTCATCTTTTTTTTTTTTTTAACTTCTCTTCGGACTGGGGGCGAGGTCAAACCTGGCGCACTGATTCAACTCGCCACAATCTCCATCACTTGCCTTGCTTTACCGCTCCCTTTGCATCACACGAACTGTGCCGTTGGTGTTGTGGTTGATCGTCGTTTTTCTTCAGCATGCGTGATTCATCTATAGTAGCCCAACCCTCCCCTCTCCCCTCCTTTTTTTTACTGTCAATGCTCATCCTTTTTGCGCGATTCTTGGTTCAAACCACATCCTCAACAGGGAATCCAACCTCAAGCTGGCGCTGGCCATTGGCCACGAGTTTGTCAAGACGTACTATCAGGCTCTGCATGAGCACGCGGAGGACGCTGATAAGCTCGTCAAGTCAGTCCCACCCCATCCGTTACTGACCACCTGCCGCGAGACAAAAGCAGCCGTGCTTAGCCCGGCTTCGGCTACGATCGTTCTTGAATATTCTGCCCTTCTCACTCTCGTTCCATTTGTTCCCTCTCCTCCCCTGTTTGTCATAAAAATAAATTCCCCCCCCACGTCACTTGTTCTCCGATGCCGCCCACCTCGCAGGCTTTACATGCATGATGCCGTCATGGTGCATGGTGAGGAGGCCGATACGATCAAGCCTGTCCACTCGGCTGATCAAATCAAGCAGGTCATCAAAGATCTGGGCTTCTGGAAGCCTCGTACAGAGGTCTCCCACCTTGACGCTCAGATGACCATTGACCGTGGTGTTGTCCTTCACGTCCTGGGCTGGCTCAGCGCCAACTCAACCCAGCTCCCGGCCACAAAGCGCAAGTTTACTCAGGTTTTCGTTCTCAAGGTGTGACAAAGTGCCAGTGTCCAGCGCGTTTTTCGTTTTTGTTTTTGTTTTTCTTCTGAGCCAAGCTTGCGAATGCTGTCTGCTTCTTTTCTCCTCAAGTCTTGCATGCCTCATCCTTTGATCCCCTTCTTTCCCCTGTCTTTGCCACCAACCATCCACAGCACGTCGGTCAGCAGGGATACGCCATCCAGAACGATATGTTCCGTTATCTCAAGGAGGAGGATGAACCTGCGCCCACCGTGCCGGCTGCCCACCCAGCTGCCAAGGAGCAGGTCATGAACGGTCATGTGGCCGCACCTGCCGCACCCACTGTTGAGGCTGCGCCCGCTGCTGAGCAGGCCGCCCCTGCCGCCAAGCCCGCCAAGGCTCAGGAGGCCAAGCCCGCCAAGGAGACCAAGCCCGCCAAGGCCCAGGAGGCCAAGCCTCCAAAGGAGACCAAGCCCGCCAAGGCTCAAGCCGACTCGACGCCCAAGTCCGCCAAGCCTCAGGCTGAGACTGCCAAGTCCGCCAAGCCTCAGGCAGCCAAGGCTCCAGCCTCTGAGCCCGCCAAGACTCAGGCTGCCCCGGAACCCAAGGCTCCTGCCGCAACGCTCTCTTGGGCTGGCCGTGCGGCTGCCCAGCCTGCCCAGTCCACCACTGCGGCGGCTCCTGCGGCTGCTGCTCGCCGTGCTGCCCCTGCTGCCAAGACGGCTCCCGCTGCTGCTCCCGCCGCTGCCCAGCCTGCCGCTCCTGCCGATGCCGCAACCCCCGCTGCTGACGCGGCCGATGAGGCAACAGATGGTGATCGCACGCGTGCTCCCCGCTCAGGTGGTCGCAAGCCCTCGACCAAGGCCGAGGAGGCTCCCTTGAGCCATGGCATTTACATTCCAAATGTGCCCGAGAGCGGCACTCAGGAAGTGTGTGGATGTGATTGCAACTCACGACAAGAACCGCCCCACCCCCAAGTTTGCCTTTTTGTCTTTTGCCACCGAAGCCGATGCTCAAAACGCCAAGAACGCCGATGAAGCTGACGTATGAACTTGTTTCCGCCTCGGCTTCATTTCGTGCGCGTCCGCCGTTTATCTGTTTTCAATTGGCACACATTTGCTTCTGGTCTTTGTCCATTGAAACCAAGTGTGTACTCCCCGCGGCACTGGTTCACCACGCTCATGCCCTGGTATTGCTTCGTTGCTGCTGGCGTGTGTGCAGTTGAAGCTCGAGAATGTGACCCTCGTGGTCCAGGAGCGCAAGGAGCGCCGATCAGACCCACGTGGTCGCAGGTAAACACCTCCCACTCTACTCTAAGCAGCTACCTTGCCCCTTGATGGTCCGGACCTGAGCTCACTCGCATTTCTTTAAATTTCCTTTTCTTCTTTGACTAGCCGTGGTGGTCGCGCGCGTGGTGGCCGCGGTACGGGCCGTGGTGCCGGCGGCGCTCCCGGTGGCCGTGGCGCTGCGCGCTCGGCCCCCAAGGCCTAAGGCGGTTTTCCGTTGCCGCGGAACTGCTGTCTGGCGCAAGTGATGACTTGCTGACAATTTGGGTTGAGGAAGCACTTGGGACACACCAATGACGATGACGATGATGTTTGTAGTGGAGTCTTTTCGGTGCCACCGCTTCTTTGCCCCAACCAGCTCAACGAGATCCTTGTATCAGGCAACGGCTTTCAGTATCCTGTTGGTGGATGCCAATGCATGTTGACGGCGACGACCATCACACTTTTGGCGGCGACGACAACAGCAGTGACAGAGATTGATGATGAAAAATGACGACTGAAAACCAAGAAAAGAAAAAAGAAAAAATGAAATTCCCGGGCTATTACATGTTCTTGCTCGTCATGAGACTCCTGCAACCGAGGACTCGTGTTCTGCAAGACCTCTTGTTTGTTTGTTTCCTGATAGTTTATCCGCCGGTACAGAGCGCGACAGCCTCTTAGCGAGACTTGTCTACTGTCTTTCTGTTGCGCGGGTGTTCTGCGCGTCAGTGACGCTAGTGCTTTCTCCTTCGGCCCCCGAACCACGCGGAGAAAGCGCATGTTTTGCACATTTTTGTCCCTGCCTTGCCTCCCACCGTGTTCCGGCTTCTACCTCGCCTCTTGCCTTATGCCCTTTCCCACACCCCCATGTTCGTTTCACCCTAGTCAAGACTTGACTTTGCCCAAGGCAAATCAAGTCGAGACAAACATTCCCTTCTTGAATTGGAGTCGACTAAACCTGCTTTCAAATCGTCTCGCCTCACTTCTCAATACACGCTTATGTGGGGAAAAAAAGGGAGACAGGGTCGCGGCTTCGCAGCGGCGTGGCCCGGGAAAGGTAGGTGCGGATTCAACAAGCAGAAATAATATTTTCCACTTCCACAAAACCCGCGTCATGTCTGTCTGGCATACCTCCAACGCTCATGTGTGAAACCGGGTTGCAATCGAGCAAATCATTGGTCGATCCTTTTTAAAATTAAGATGTGCAACTGTATAAAAATTTAATTATTGCAAGAGGTGGGTTTGGTCTATCTCTTCCTCTCAACGCTGGGGTCTGTGTGGAAGAAGAAGGCACACCCGCGGATCACTTGGTTGTGCTTTGGGGCGAGCCGTCCTCTCGCGTGACCGTGACCAGGGTCCGATTTCGGTGACGCACGTACATGACTCCGGTGGCTATCGCTGAGACGCACGTGAAATCCCTAAGGAATTTGGGACGATGGTGAGAGTGCTATCACTGAGTCCCAAATCCAGCAGTGATGCTAAATGCGCTCACCATACTGTCTCCATGGTCCCGGCAGGTAGAGATGCAAGCGCGTCGGGCCAAGCGGCATAAAATAGCGCAAGCATGACGCTGCCAAACTGCAAAGTCGTGTTGATCTGAGCAGGGGGAACAAAGATGGTAGTTGCCCAAGAGCAAGTGGGGCGAAAGCAAGGGCAAGGCCAGAAGAAAGAATGAAAAAGGAGGGTCGAGCGTAAAGCAAGATGTAGCAGCCTTGGGCAGAAGCGTTCCAATCCAATGGTCAATAATCACGCGTTTGAACGTCATTTTACCTTGCCCAACATCAGTGGTTTAACTTCCATGGTGGGTTGCTTCATGTCCAGGTACAGTTTGAGGGAAGGAGTGTGGCCCAGGCGCTGTCACAAGAGTACAAGATTTGTTATTTGCAACGGATAGCCAGCAAGGCCTGTGCATTCCATTCAAGTCGTCGGGGCGAGCGCTCCGCCATCACCTACTTGCTGAAGGCTCTTATAGCGTGTCTCGGCCGCCGTGGCGATCATCAAAGCATCCTTCACCACCCATACCGCCGCGACCGTCGCTACATCCAGCGCGACGCCAGGAGAGAAGTCAAAGAAGAAAGAAAAGCATCAAGCCAGCGTTTAGCACGTGCAACAACCAAGGAGTCGCGCAAACTTGATTGTAATGCACCCATCAAAGCAGCTGTACCTGGCAAGAGGCCCGACCAAAATAAGCTGCCAGCAGACACGATGATTAAAACCTATGGATATTGAGCGGGGTGCATGTGAGAAGGTCTGACAGTGCGGCCAATACCCATGGACTTCAAACTCGACACCCTCCTGAAGCACCCGTCTGTTTCACATGCTCGTTCCCGCTTTTCTTTCAAGTTTGTAGTGGCGCATTGTGTGCACAGCCGAAGGGAGACCTGTTCTGAACTATCTTCTGGCTGAAAGCTGGACGTACCTTGTCAGCCAGGGGATCGAGAACAGAGCCCCAAATGGATCGCTGGGATGGCCATTGGCGTGCGATGGCACCGTCCAACTACGAGACATCAAAGCGGTATTGAAACAATATCGCGCAAAGTACATCAAAGCACATCAACAGCAACAGCCACAATTATAGCGGGAGACAAGCCGTGAGCAAGTGAACAGGACAGGTCTCCTCCTGGTTTGGAGCCAAAAAGCAGGGCAGAGAACGAGGGTGCTCACCCAGTCTGAGAATGCGGCAATGCCGTAAAAGCCGAGGGCAAGCTTGGCGCTTCCGCACACAATCCAATATCCAAGAACGGGACTGAGGGCGATGCGAGAGGCGGTCAAGAGGTTGGGTACGGTCCACACTTTGTCTGCGGCTACGCGATCTTGCAGGTCATCAAAGTGTTGGGGTGGGACACGGTTGCTGGGTTCGTCGCGGCTGTGACTAGTATGGACCCAGCGCAAAGAGGCAAGCGGTGCTGGTCGGTGCTGATAGACATGGGTGGCCTTTTGACTCAGGCGCGCAACCGCCCGGGGCAGTGCAGGCCAGAGTGGCAGTTGCGTGCGGACCTGCCGCAACATCCATACACATTGCACGGTCCGCGGCGCAAGAGCGCGGCGGACCGACTCGACAGTAGCCATGAAGTAAGCACGACGTTTACTCGGGACACGGGCCGTGAGTCAAACTGTGGAGCATCCTTCCAAAAGGGCGTGGACACAGCCGATGCCGCCAATCTGTGCCACAGACCAAAGGACTCCGGATCCATACACCGACGAGCGAGGCCTTGCGTGAAATTCAACCGACCAAGCCTTTTCTCGTGCGCCCATCCAAACGCAAGGACCTGGTTGTGCTGGTTTCTGGGTCCTCTACCTCACCGGCGCGGCGTTGCGGACGGGTTCCTGCGAGACGAGCTCACTGCAGCTCGACTCGCTTCGAGCGGCGTGCCTTGGCCGTGTCTCCGGCACGTGTAAAAATCACCGTCCAACCTGTCCGAGCATGGCCTGACCCCTTGATCAAAAGCTGAAAGACCACACGCCCCACCGTCCTGCCAACTCCAGCTGTCTTGATCGTGGTACACCGACTCTATCAGGCACACAGTCGTGGTCACCGCCTTGGGCTGGTGAAAGCTGGCGCTCGTTGCCCTGTGATGGAAAAAAAAAATCAGAGAGAGAGAGAGACAGGGAGAGAGAGAGAGAAAGAGAGAGAGAGAGAGAGAGAGAGAGAGAGAGAGAGAGAGAGAGAGAGAGAGAGAGAGAGAGAGAGAGAGAGAGAGAGAGAGAGAGAGAGAGAGAGAGAGAGAGAGAGAGAGAGAGAGAGAGAGAGAGAGAGAGAGAGAGAGAGAGATGAATTGTTTTTGGTCAGAGAGATGACGCGCGGGTGGGTCTGTACGGAAGTGTGATAATCAACACACTTATGTTCAGCAGAGGAGAGAGCAAGACAGAAAATCTTACATTTGTTACACAACAACAAACAAAAGAGAGACAGAGACAGAGACAGAGACAGAGACAGAGACAGAGAGACAGAGACAGAGACAGAGAGAGACAGAGACAGAGACAGAGACAGAGAGACAGAGACAGAGACAGAGAGAGACAGAGACAGAGACAGAGACAGAGAGACAGAGACAGACAGAGACAGAGACAGAGACAGAGACAGAGACAGAGACAGACACAGACACAGAGACAGAGACAGAGACAGAGACAGAACAGAGACAGAGACACAGAGAGACACAGAGACAGAGACAGAGACAGAGACAGACACAGAGACAGACACAGACACAGAGACAGACACAGAGACAGACACAGAGACAGAGACAGACACAGAGACACAGAGACAGATACACAGAGAGAGGCAGAGGTGGTAGTGGTGGTGGCAGTGCAACAGGAGAAGGAATGGCATTTCTTTCTTTCTCGTGTCGTTGGCGTCGTGGTCGCGTCGTATTGGTTTGACCGTGGTGCTCCCTGATTCGGTAGCGGAGCGCACGTGAGAGAGAAAGGTGCGGTCCTGCTGGGGGCCGGGGCCGGGGGAGCTGTCCTTCTGCTGTGATCGGCAGACTCTTGGGGTAGGTTTCATGGCGCTCAACAACATTGTTCTTGTGATGGCTGTCCGCCCGAATGGCTCAGCTCGCCTTGATCGCTGGCTGGCGGTGTGCCCCTTCTCGCCCGTAACCGCATTTTTAACTGCTGTTGGTGGCATTGCTGCTTACTCTTGGCAGGACCCCATTCTCGGTGTCAACGTTCTGCATTCGTGCGGCCCGGGTGGAGAGCCGACGGCTGAAACAGTCTACCCACGATTATGGCTTGGCGAAGTCTTTGTCAGCGCCTTGCCCTGGCGTTGGTGCTCCTTTGCATCATTAGTAGCTCGACAGCAGACACATCCACCTCAACAGCCGCGTCGGGATCCACCTCAACTACTCTGACCATCAGTTCAACTACCTCTACCACAGCTGCAAACACAACAGCTGCAAACACAACCACCCCAGCCGACAAGACCTCAATCACTACGACTCCAGCTGCCACAACAGCCGAGAGCACAAGCACTACTACTCCAGCTGCTAACACAACCACTGCTGCCACAACCACAACAGCCGACAAGTCCACAATCACTACGACTCCAGCTGCTACCACAACCACAACAGCCGAGACCAGAAGTACTACTCCAGCTGCTAACACAACCACTGCCGCCAACGTAACCACTGCTCCAGCAAATACAACCGCTGCTACCAATGTAACCACTACCCCTTTGGCTCCCACAACCACCCCAGGCATCGCGACCACTACCCCTTTGGCCAACTCCACCACCTCAGGCACCTCAGGCATCGCGACCACTACCCCTTTGGCCAACTCCACCACCTCAGGCATCGCGACCACTACCCCTTTGGCCAACTCCACCACCTCAGGCATCGCGACCACCGCCTCTTCAACTATTCCGGGCAATGCAACCACTATTCCAGGCAATGCAACCACTGATACAACAACGACAACGACGACAACGACAACGACAACAACCTCCACTTCTTCGTCTTCTTCCTCCTCAACAAACACCACTGTGGCGCCCAGCTCGGGCAGCTCGGGCATGACCAAAGGACAAAGTTTGTCGGCCTATCTGCGTTGCTCTGCTCTGCTCGGTTCTGCAACCCTGTACCCGTCCCTCCAGAATCCCCTGTCTCATGAGATCATTCTTTGCTCGTGGCATTGGTATTTATAACCTCCTGTAGCGCTGGCACTGGGCTTTGGTCTCATGATCCTGATTGTTGTGGTGATGACGGGAGGCTTCTTCTTTTTGAAGCAGCGCAGCAAACAGCAGCGCTACCGTGGTGGGCGCCAGCAACTGCGGTCTCAGCTCTTGGGCAATAACAACAGCGTGGCCGCTTCAGACACTCACACCTTTGTGCTAGAAGATGAGGACGACGAAGAAGATCTCATCTTCCCCCTCCATGGTGGCTCGCGTGCTTAAGCCACGGGCTTGCATGATGCGCATCTATCCAAGCATGTTTTGCTTTTTGTGTTCACCTCTCGTTTCGCTTCTAGTCTTGCACCATTTTGCATTTTGTTGTCGTACCAATTGCTAAAACCAAGTAGACGCCTGTCTGAGTGAGGATATGCGGATATGAATTCGTCTTGTCCACTCGTGTGCCTGCACACGTTACTTCTGATTTCTCGTCGTGTCCGAAACATGCATGCTTCGCTTGTTCAGACGACGCCTTGCTGGACAATGGATCTGGGCTTGTTCTCTATAGCCCTGGCAATCGCTCCATCGAGGTCATGCCATTTGACATGCTCATTGCTGGCGCTCGCGAGGTATCGATCCCTATCACAAAAGCACACAACAAAATCAAGTCGAGCGCTCTGGCCTCACGAAGCAGACATGAGGCAGCTCGAGCAAGTTTCAAGCGACAGACCTGGCAGCACGTCAACGACAGCTTGTGGAAGTCGAACGGCGTTGGTTCCTTGTTGCTGAAGAGGGGCAGCGGCAGCGAGCTCGGCCTGGTTGTACTCGTCTTCTTGCATGGTATCACCGGGCATGTGTCGCGTCCAGAACTGAGAAGTCAATACAACGCGCTCGTGAGCAAGCAAAGTGACCACAGTAAAAAAAAAAAAAAAAAAAAGTGGGGTCCAAAGTCGACAGCCTACCGCAACGCGGTGATCGTTGCCGGCCGTGGCCAGCACATGGCCCAACGGATGCCAAGCCAAATCCCAGATGAAGGCATCATTATGGGCATTGGGAATCGAGCCTAGCGCAGAGCTTGTGCTGGAGCAAGCCAGGCATAAATGTGAGAATGGTCATGTTATTGGTTGATGCACAATGGGCATGGGTGGAGAGTCATACCCGGCCAGCCAAAAGTGCAGGCCCCCTTTTCCACTGCTGCTCACAAAGAGATCGTTGTGAATGGGATGCCAGGCAACCACTGCCAATCAATGCGGTGCAAACAGAAACAACCGGTTAAGGCTGTTTGCAGGTCACCCTGGAAGCCTTGATGGCTCTGCACAAAACTCTTGACGGATCCGACCTACCATCCACCTGTCCCTCGTGGGCTCGGAATGTTTGCATTTCTTTCATAGTCCGCAGGTCAAAGAGCTTGACCTGTCATGTTTTGGTGCCGCATGAAAGGTGGCCATATCGGTGTGGGTCAGACATATGCCCAGACACATGCACGGATCGGAACATGTACGCACCAGCCCATCACGCGAGGCAGAGAGAAGCATGTTGCCATCGCGGTGCCACTTCAAGTCCATGACCGTGTCCTTGTGTAGATAAAGAGGCGAAAGGTTCGTGCCGTCACGTGGATCCCACAGTCGCATGGGCTGCTGGTCATCGCGGGACCCCGACACAATCAGAGCTAGTGCAACAGTCCAAAGTCGGCTGGGTCAGACAAATTAAACGGGCAAACAGTAGAGGTCTTGTCACACCAGCAAATCGGGTCGTACACATTTTTGGGTGCCAAGCAACGGCGCGCACGTCGGCACCGTGGCCCTTGAGCACCTGAGCGCAGGGAGAAACCATAAGCCAAGGATTCCGGTGCAAGACACGTGTACTGAGTGGACGGAAGCATTGCACGGGTCAGACGGCGCCAAGAGCCCTGTGAGCGCTGCCACGTACGCGCTCCACTTTGGTGGAATAGAAATCGAAAATCTTGACTGTCTTGTCTTCAGAGCAGGAACAAAACTTGCGGTCATTCGGGCTGAAGCTGTGGGCGCATAGAGGCATCCAAATTGTCAAGGGAGCGAAGTGGGATGGCCGTGTATGAGGCAATGGCGCAAACAATGTCCAAACCTTGTGGCACGAACGGGACCATCGTGCGCATCTGGAAGTTCGGCAACAGTGTTCATGTTTCTTTGCCAGTACTTGATGCAGCCGCCGTCGTCGCCCTTGGTCAACATGCGTCCAGAATGAGAACAAGCATCACGCCGCCGTTTTGAGGTTTGAGGAGCATGGACCAGAAGTTGGAATGAAGCTTACGGTAAGAAGCCATTCGTAGTCGTTGCTCCAGTTGAGGGTGCGGATGCTGTTGAAATGGGCAGATAGAATGGTCTCAAAGTTGAAAGTGCAAGCATACCAAAGCGCAAACTGGCCAGTGGAATGGCCGGTGATGACGCGGCGGCCTGTCGGGTCCCACTGCATTGGCCAGGACCCAAGCCAAGCAGGCGAGGTCAAATGAGTCTTTGCTGGCCTATCGCCAACATGTTGGGGCTCACTCTAGTTCTTCAACATGCCGCTGTGCAGGTGGGCGCGCTTAAACCACGTACCCGGATGCAAAAGGCGGGCGTGTTGGACCTCAAGGCTTCACCACCAGCTGAGGCCTCGCTTTCTGCAGAACGATTCAAAGAAACACGGTCATTGAGCAGGGAGTGATCGGGTTGTACAAGCCTAAGAAGACCATGACGGCCAAGCCGCGGAGAGCGCCGCTTACGTGCACGGGCTTGCTCTGACTTGGCTTTGCCCTCTTTTGCAAATTTGGTAACCACGGCATTGGCACAGTCTCTTGCGTAAACGGCTGGTGGCATGACCTAGCCAATTTGACGCGCGTAGGTCCGTAGGTGTGCGTGAGACCTGTAGACAGGGGTCATCCGTTTGATGAGCGGATACCTACATGATAGGCCTCGGCATCCCGGGGCTGTAGACGCGGGACATCACGACCGTCTTTTCGAAAAAGGCGACTCTACGCGGCAGATAGAAGCAGAAGGCGGAGGCCAAGGCGAGATGAGAAGTTGGCTCTGGTCAGGGCTGCGGCCTCAAGCTTGCCGGGGCTTGGCTGGTGTCATACCTCCAAGTCTGCGACGATGGCGGCGTGATGGTCGATGGTGGGACGGTGATCTTGAGTTGTGGCAAGGAATTGATGCTGGTAGTGTTGTGTGCCTCCAACGGCGCGAAAGTTGCCACCCGTATTGCCACCACCGCCCCCTCGCGATCGCATGCCATAGCGGCCTCCGGCATTGCTGGCACCGGGACCACCCCCTCGCCCTCCACCATAGCCACCTGGACCTGCGGGCCCACCGCGGCCATAGCCACCACCGCCGCCACCATTGTAACTGCCGTAACCACCACCGCCACCACCACCGCGGCCGCCATAGCCACCACCGCCACCGCGGCCGCGGCTACCGTAGCTCGACTGATACGCCATGTCCGGCGCACTGACCTGTGCGCACCAACCAACACAAAGCCAGGGATACAGTCAGATACTTAGCTATAGCAGAGAGTAAAATAAAGAGGACATAGCCTCCCAAAACACAGCAATCTGCCCCAAGCTGCCCGTTATTCATCACTGGTCAAGCGCGCGCTTCCGAACAAGGATGCGTTCCACCAGCACCACCAGCACCACCAGCACCAGCACCGCCGGCACCGTCAGCACCGCCGGCACAACTTACACGTTCTGCTCGTCGTTGAAAAACGGAGAGAGAGAGATGTCGAGGAAGTGTGAATAATGAAAGAGACGGAGAGAGAGAGCGCGAGAAATGCAGAGATAGAGTCAGCGATGATCATGAATGGATTGAAAAGACCACAGTAAATAGCAATGACACAGAGAAACAGCACAACAGTGAAGGAAAGTCAGAGACACACAAAGCTAGAGGGCAGAAACAGAGAGACGATATCCAACAAAGCCGCACACACATGCAGCCCTAAAAGTCTGACAAGCATAAATTTGTCTGACAAGTATCAGTTTGTCTGACAATTACAACATCTCAATCATGGCGGCGGCGGTGTCAGCGATGGCAGCAGCGACCGAGGTCGAGGCGGAGAGCAAGCAGGGGGTTGAGCAGGAGGGCAAGAGGAGCAAGCAGGTGGCTGATCAGGAGATCGAGCAGGAAATCAAGCAGGAGATCGAACAAGAGCTCAAGCAGGAGGTCGAGCAAGAGGGGAGCAAGGAGATGAGCCAGGGGGAGAGCAAGGAGAGGAGCGAGGAGGAGAGCAAGGAGAGGAGCGAGGAGGATAAAGTGGCAGAGATTGAATCTATGCGAGCAAGACGAGCAGCAGAGCGGCGAAAGCAGTTGCAAGAAAAACGCATCAAGCTGGCGAATGAGACGGTGCGCATGCTCGCTGCGCTTGTGTCATGTCTCGGTGCACGTCTTGGTCGCCGACTTGATTGGGGCATGTGATCATGTGGAAACATCGCGTGCAGCGCATGCGCCGGCTGGCAGCGCGCCCCGAATCGAGTTGGAGCTCCGATGACGCGACATTCGTCGAGGCAAACCCGGAGCTCATGGCCCTGGTACGTCCTGACCGTCCACGCACAACCCCTGGCCTTGTTTTGTCTTGGATTTTTGCTGAGCCTCGGTTGTTTGCTGTTTTGATGGCAGATGCGGCAGCGGCACAGTCGCCGTCGCCAGCGTGAGGATCGCGAGGCCGAGGCAACTGACGATCCCGAAACTCTCCGGCACAAAGCCACCAAAGTTTGTTCTCCCTTCTCAACTTTGCTGGCCCTCGGGTGCCTATTTCTTGAACGTTGACGGCATGATGACATGAGCTTGGTTTTACCTTGCGGTTACGCCCTGCGGTCTGATTTGTCCCTCAGGTGGCGACCCTGCTTCAGCAAGCTCGTACTGCGGTATGTCAATCCCATTTGCGCTCCATCGAAACAAGTCCTTACATGCTTCATGACAAGTCGACGCCGTAGGTTGTGTACACGGGTGCTGGCCTGAGCACGGCCAGCGGCATTCCGTGCTATCGTGGGCAGCATGGCATCTACACCAAGACCGCCAAAAACTCAACTGCGGATACCACCGTTGCTCCCACGTAATGACCTCTCTTCTTTCATTGAGCTCATTTTCAACTCTTTCGCCCGACTCGCCACTCACCTCTCAATCATCACTGTAGGCCTGCACCAACAACATTAGATTTGACGGCGTGCTCACCGACGCGTGCCCACCAAGCCCTAACAGCCTTGGTTCAAGGAGGCGTCGTGCAACACGTGGTCTCACAAAACGTTGATGGCCTGCATCGGCGAAGTGGCCTCTCTCCTCAACACCTTTCTGAGATTCACGGCAATGCTTTTCTCGAGTATTGTCCCGTCTGCTCCAACAATGGTGTGCAAGCCAGCGGCCTCTACGCTCGTCGTTTTGACGTCACAGGTTGGCCCCCAAAAGCTGAGCTCTCCGCTCAACCATCAATCCAGCTCAACTCGTGCCTATTCGCCCTGCTTCTCATTAGGGCTCACGGCCCGCCATCGCCACGCCACGGGCCGCAATTGTCCTGCTTGCGCCACTCCATTGCTGGACACAATCGTGCACTACGGCGAGGCGGCGCAGTGGGTGCTTGGAACGCGCGTCGTATCTTGAAACTTGCTGCATGTAAAGGGCACGTGCTAATACCCTTGTTACCTCGTTGTTATAGTTGTAGCCCCGTTCACAATTGGGAAGGCATCGAGGCGCTCCTGCCTCAGGTGGACCTCATCCTTGTCCTTGGCTCCAGTCTCAAGGTTTGAGGCATCAAGCCAAGCGCTTGCATAGCATCGCTCGACGGCCCACTTTGTGTCTCATGTGACACAAAATCTGTTTCTTTGCGCCAGGTACTCAAACACTACAAACCGCTTTGGCAACCTCTGCAAAAGAAGGCTTCGTTGATCGTTGTCAATCTGCAGTGGACACCGCTTGATGCGCGGGCAGCGCTTGTCGTACGAGCAACCTGCGATGCGTTTCTGGAAGCTCTCCTTAATGCCCTGCCGACAGGTTTGTGCGCGTTCATACACGCCCCCATCAATGCCATGCCCGATACAAATCTTCACCGTTTCTTGCTTGTGTTGGCGGTGTAGCACGTCGCCCTGCTGTACCCGACTATGACATGGGTCACGACGCCCTGTGGGCTATGGCAGTTCCCTTGACGCCTGCCGAAGACCAAGCCGCGAAGGAGCCTGCTAGCCAAATTTCGCTTCGTGAAGGGTGGTTTGCTAAAGGCGTAACAGGAGGTCAGCGTCGAGCCAAGCGTGTCAAGGAAGAGTTGGAGGCTCTAACCTAGTGGCCACAGCCTTGGCGCAGCAACCGCTTTTAAGGAAGATATGAGTGCAAGCAGGCACCACATTCGAAATCAATTGAACAAGAAGAAGGAAGAAGACAACCGCCACTGTGACACGCACGCACACCACGCTTCAGTTCGTCTTGTTTTTTGCATTATGCGATCATGTGGGTGTTCAGATGCGACCAAAAAGTGGCTTGAGAAAAAACTTCAGACGTTGAGCTTTTGCGCCACAATGTTCAACACTCGATTTTGCTCTGCCAGCCGCTCTACCAGCGCCTGCGCATGGAGACGATGAGAGCAGTGTGAGAAGCTGACCAGTATCAGAATTTTAATCAACTGGGCTTTTGAAGCGAGCCGACATTCTCGCCATTGGCAAGGTACGACACAAACCTTGAGTTCAGTACCCGATTGATGGGTAATCATGCGCAATCGACTTGTACGCGCTTTGATATCCTACGTGGATGTAGATTGTGGAAATGCAGCTTAAGCTTTGGCACACAGCACCCATTCTCGCCAGTGCCAGGATCAGCAGCGCACCTCAATGACTGCTTCATCTGTATCCAAGCGCATCGGCGCATTGATGTCCTCCTGCACAAGTCGCTTGATGTTGACGGACACAGAGGTCAACAACGATGCATCCTTTAAATGCTTGTTTGGCCACATGTCAAATTCCTGTGAAGCGATATTTGTCACAGAGTGAATGGAGACCCGCAATGCCTCATCACTTGACAGTAAGAGGGCGAGGAAAACTCGGCCGGTTGCTCGCTCGCCATCCTCACCTCGGAAATGTGGCGCCAGGACAGAGGCAGAAGAGAGTCCACCGTTGCCAAATACTTGGCTTTGATGATCTGCTTGTTCGCAGAAGCCTCATCGTTGATCTAAGCGAGCATGGACGGGGTGAGAGATTTAGCGAGTCTAGCAGCACACCCACTCAATGCACCAGCTCACGGAGTTGCAACGTACCTTCTCGATATCGCCCACAGCAAGACCAATGAGCAGGTTCATTAGCACAATGTTCATCTGATCGTCAGGTCAGGGTGAATCAAAACATGTGTGTGAGCAGGCCACGTAGACACGCCGGCGCCATGAAACGCCAAAGATGGCCAATGCAGGGTATACAAGCTCCAAGGCTGATTAGAATTGATTGACATACCAAGATGATGAAGATGGCAAAGACTGGGTAAGCCAAGTTGCCAAAGGGCAGGCAATGCGTAATGCCAAGTGCCGCTGGTGTTGTCCCCGGGTTGTCAAATAGCGCAACACGGCAGCCCTCGTTGCCCGCAAAGACACTATCAAACTCGTATTCGCCAGTCATCATGACAAATGTCGTACTCAAGGCCAGAGCTGTCATCAACATTACGGATGGCAACGACACGTGATGAATTCTCAAAGCAATCAAAGAAACAAATTTGTCTCGTATGAATCGTCCGATGGACAAACCTGGAGACGAAAAGGACTCTTGGTCCTGCAGCATGATGAAAAAGGACAGGCCAAAAGCCAGCATGAAAATGATAAACACGATCAAGACCTAGAAGGAGCACCAGCAAAAGGAGTAATCAGATAAGATGAGTGCAGATGAGGTGTCTGGACACGCTGGAAGCACGCTCACATGCGGGGTCCTGACCTTGGCGGCTGTGGCGAGGATATCCGTCATCATCAGAATGTAGATGCCAAAGGTGTCAAAGCGACGTGCGTAGATCAGTAGATTCATCCACACCAGAAACACGGCAATGCTGCCAGTGAACCAAGTGTTCTCCCAGGCTTCACTTGCTTGCTCTTTAGTGGTTAAGAGGGGGTACAGAACCTGGATTGTGACAAAGTTTATTGGTTTTGCACGTGAGTCGACGGGTTTGGATGATCAAGATGGCACGGTTGAATGGAGAGGGACGCGATTTGTGCTTACCATGAGGGCCGAGGTGACAAAGGCGCCCAAATCGAGCGCATTGCTACCAGTTAGGTAGCGAGCACCCAGGCTGATCATCTGGGCCACTTCTGCCATCAGGTTTAGTCCGGTGAAAATCAGAATGTACACCGTGCAAGCCTAGTGAGGTTTTGTTTGTTTTTTTGGATCGACCCACCCAAGCAAATACAAGGTCATGGCAAGCAGCTTGGTGAGACGGTAGCCACCACAACTTGGAGGGCGTCTGAAAAAGAAATGGGGGGGGGGGGGGGGCGGAAGGGAATCGCGTCCAAGGGACACACCTGTGATGCAGCCGATTGCTCGGTAAAGACGTCGTTGGTGTCGAGAGGATTGACCAGCACAAAGGTAGTCACCATTGCCACAAATAGGAGATACAAGCTCAAATTGACCCCATACAGTTTTGAACCGTACTACCATGGTGCAATAATGTCGAGGGTCAAACAAACGGCCGTACAAAAGCGAGCAAAAAACGCAACCAGGAGGAAGGGCACGTCATCTCAAAGGCAAGCCTTCAGGTGCAAGAGAGAACAGGAAGGAGCCGGTGGAGGGCGTCGCAAATCTGCACCAACCTGATTCCAGCGCAAGGCAAGATAGGCATTGGTCAAGGGGTGCAACAACAACTCAGAATGTCGATGGTCGATGATAAAGGTGATCGGGGACTTGGCGCCTGCCTCCTCGCCCTCGCGATCCATCAAGAGCCGAAAGTTATACTTGATTTGATAATCGTCGGCATCCTTGGCGTTCTCTACTCACATCCCAGCAAGATGAACCAAGCTTAAGACCACAAACTCGCCGCTCGCACTCCACATGGCCCATGTGGAAATGGGCTGGTAACACACGCATTGATCCACAACCCAAAAGATCGGCCTGTCTTGCAGAACATGTCCCAAGATGTGGGGAAAGCTGGCCTGGAACAGGCATGCCTCCAAACTCACTTGTGGCAATGCACTTATCAAAGACCGACGTGGCCATGTTGGGCATGTACTTGATGAGTCGCTGAAGTCCACTGGTGTTCCATTCGTCCGCAGGCACATCGTCACGCTTGCCCATGCGAGCGCGCAACAACGACTGCCACCCCTCGTGGCGGAGTAACACGGCTGCAACTTCTGGGTGGTTATTTTTAGCCGCCCAGTCTAGCGCAGTGTAGCCTCGGGCGTCAGCGTGATTGATCAGCGCATGCTGCTCCAAAAGCAACAAGACCACCAGTTCGTGACCGTGCATGCTGGCCACAATCAAGGGTGTCACGTGATTTGTATCAGCCGAATCCACTTCGGCATCGACATTCAGCAGCTGTCGCACGCAAGCAGCACTCCCCACTACAAAAGTGCGGCCAAGCAACGATGAGTGGGCACGATGGCCGTATCGTCTGGGCAGATGGTTCCGTTTTGTGGTGCGTGCAAAGCAATCCAGGTGGCTCACCGCGAGCGGCCTCAAAGAGGGGGGTCTGCATGCTGTCATCTCGAGCGTCGACATCAGCGCCCGAATCTAAAGCAAGCGTGACAAAACAATTGAGCACCATGGTAGTCATGCGACAGGCGCACATAATAAGAAGCGACTCTTCATGCTCAACGCACCGATGAGTAGATGGACAATGCGTGCGTGACCAGCATGGGCAGCACAATGCAATGGCGTTTGGGCGTTGTCATCTTCATCGGCCACCAAGCGCTCTCGACTCTTGATCAGGAGCTGCAGTTGATCATCGGACATGCCCCAGCAAACAGTATTTGAGGACGGTTTCCATCGGCAAAACAGCAGAACAATCTCCAACGTAACGGGGGGAACGACCCCAGCTTCGAGAGCGCTTGCGCTCGAACCTTGACTACTTTAAAGTGATCGTTCTCGGCAGCCAGGTGCAGCGGCGTGCGCTCGGCATCATCCTTCGCGTCAGGATGAGCGTTGGCATCCAGCAGCAGCTTTACTACGCTGGCGTGCCCACGGGCTGCAGCATAATGCAAAGCCGTCTGCTCATACTTGTCCAAGTTCTCAAGGAGGCGGCGTCCTGCCATGCTGATCTGGGTGAAATGATGCGCCCCCGGGCGTGTCGCGTGAGGACAGATCAAGAGCATCAAGGAAACGAGATGGCGACTTATCAACATTCGTGTTGGCTGCTTACCGTGTCAATGCTGGTCTCATCATCGTCGTGATCATCGTCATCGTCCAGACCACCCAACTGCATGCACCCGCGTTTGGTGAGCAAGGTGCTAGTCGAGACAACCACCAGAGGCTCACCACTAGAATGCACATGACCATGGACTGACCGAAGTAGTGTCTTGGATGTAATTGATCAGTTGTCTGGCGCAGCCCTCTTCACCTTTGGCTGCTGAGTGGTGCAAGGCGGTGCGTCCAAGCTAAGGAGACGATGCACAAACCAAGGAGAAGCAAGTCGTGAGAAAGCCGTGAAGAACAGACAACACTGACAGCCTGCCTTGGACGTGGCTGACATACACGGTCCTCCAGCTGCACATTGGCGTGATGTTCGAGAAGAACTGCAACGGTGCTGTCACGGCCAGCTGCACATGCAAGCATCATGGCGGTTTGGCCATCGCTTGTTGAACGATCAATAAGCGGCTTGGCTCTGTTGGGGGACGCGGCAGCCAAGGGAAAAACAGAGTGCGGCCACAGCTTAGTAAACAGGCGAAAAACACCAAAGAGAAGGTGGTCTCAAGAAGGAGTGGCAGGACATACCGATTCCGATCATCGCGGAGAAAGAAGCGAACAATATCAGTACGGCCAAAAAGGGCAGCACGATGAAGTGGCAGCATGCCCTTGTAGTCGCGGGCTTTACTGTGTTGGTCGACCGCACACGAAGGGCAAAAACGCATTAGAAAGGGTGGTCTTGAGTGCGGTAAATGGGTGAGTCATTGACGCAGAGTGCACAGCCGTGCTCATACATGGAAGCGCCGTGTTCAACAAGAAGGGTGATGACTTCCAGATGGCCTTGTCGTGCTGCGGTGTGTAAAGGTGTACGACCGGTATGTTTGTTCTAGTGCCGTCGATGCCCGACACCACACCAGCACACCAGCACCACAGTTAATGCGAGCGTGATGGCCGCTGCTTGCCTGTGGCACAGAGCGCGATGGACTGACCCGGAGCTTGTGACTGGCACCCAGATTGAGGAGAAACTGGACGGCAGCGGTGGAGCCCGAATAGACGGCATTGTGCAAGCTTGAGCGGCCGTTGCGATCCTAAGAGTGCCGATCGCAAGGCATGCGCCAAATGGCCAAGTTAGACAACTGCACAAGCGTATGTGACAAAACAGTTGAGATGCAAGACGGCAGAACCTGACCACATGCTCAATCACGCTGGAAGTTTTGCCCTCCTTGCCGGCAACTTCGGCAATGAGTTGCATGACATTGACGTGGCCTTCAACAGCGGCAAGGAGGCACTGCCGGTCCACGCGAGTCAAAGCATTGGAGGGGAATGTCAAAGAGGTCAAGTGGTAAGGAGGCTTAAATGAACATGAGAAGCCAAAGTTGTTTGCAGTCGCAAACACGAGGTAGGTCGAACACGCACGGGCGTTTGCTCTTGATCGTCAAGGGCCTCCACATCAGCTCCTGCCTCGAGCAGGAGTCGCACGCTCTGCACGTGACCACCGGAAGCAGCCCAATGCAGTGGCGTGGCGGAGGAACTGTCTCGGACGTCCACCTGCAAGCACACGCACGGACCCAGATCGGTCGTGGCCAGGGTCAAACGGAATGTTACCAAGCATCGAGCGGGGTGGAGGATGAGAGGGGATGGGAAATAAGGCGTACTGAGAGCTGAGCGCGAACGGCATCGTTTTGCAGTAGGAGTATGAGGCACGCGGGATCAACGCGATCGCAGGCTTGATGTAAGATTGTCGAGTTGTAGTCATCGCGGACGTCTAGACGCACGGTGTCCTCCAGGAGCACCTATGACGGACGAGCAGGGGCGACCGGGTTTGCATCAGTTGAATGAGAGCGAATGGTATGTCCCATCAGTGTGTCAGATAACAAGGACTGGGAGCAAACCTGTAGAACCTCGGCCGGGGCGTAGCGTGCAGCAAGATGCAAAGGAGTCACACCCTCTGGCCCCGCATCCTACCCAGCGAGATGGAAGGCAGCCGAGCGTGAGGCCTTGGTCAAGGAGCACACGAAACAAGAAGCCACGATGATGCAGCACGGTCCATACCGTGACCTTGGCGCCATGGCGGCGAAGGGCATGGATCACCTCCACGTGCCCATTGCGCACGGCATAGTGAAGGGCCGTCATGCCTTCCTCATCGCGCCGCTCAACCAGAGGCACACTGTAAAGAAGTGACGGCAAGTCGTGAGGCGTAGCATGGGTGACCAAGAAATAGGTGCAGCACCGACGTACCGATTTCGGTCCTTGCTATTCCCAAGCTGGTGCGCTGCACGGGAGAGAAACTCTTCAGTCTGCTCCACATTGCCATCACGAGCAGCCTACAGAACAATGAAGATACGACACTACATGATCATCGCATGCATACCCCCGGAAGCACGCAGCGAGCCGAGTAGCACCTACTCGGTGGAAGGTCCAAGCGATCTTGCTCGGCGCTCCAAGAGTGCTGAGCTCCATCTCATAGTCCCGAGGCGCCATGACGCTTGTGGCACTGGGCCTCGGCGTGATTGCAGCAGACCAACGTCGCCAAATGGTCCAAGGTCGCGCGCGAGCGAGTGCTCGAGCCCTCTCTGCCAAAAGAAAAAAAAAAAACGAAAGGGAGAAAAAGGGGGCGGAAAGGCAGGCAGCTTCTTCTCTGACTGTGGTAGCGGTGTCGGCGTAATCTCTGCTTTTATCTTAGTTTCTCAAAGTACTGGCAAGGACAATGTGGCAGCTTCTCTAGAAAAAACGCAGCACCGGCTTGCATGTCTGCTCATTTTTTTCTGACGTGTATAAAGGTTATGGTCACTGGTTTCACAAAATCAAAGCTATTTCATAATCGTGCGGGGCCCAATACGCGAAAGGCGACGGAACCGCCCAGCTGAGGACGAAGCAGAGCAAGACTAGGTGGCCATTGCGGCGGTGGGGATGAGGGTTATGTCAAACGATCGGTGTGCTCTTGAACGTGTCGGTTTGTATCGGGGTGTTGCCGTGTTGTTGGCATTTTCCATCAGCGAGGGCGACTGGACAAGGCTCCAAACGAAAAAAGGTCATCATGGCGAATCACGAAGGACGACTCCGGCGTCGATTGTTAGCGGCGTTCAAGGACGTGGTGCAAACAGAGTTGGATAGCTCAGGTGGGTTGGTCTGGAACACGGGGGCGGGTCTCGGCCATGATTGGATTCGGATGCCGGTGAACTTACGAAGCAACACCCCTGCTGTCGTCATATCGGCAATCATTGTGCCACAACGAAGAGATTGAGGCGGGGGTTGAGTGCTTCTTGGAGCTGATGCGAGACGCCCCGGAGGAACTAGCCATCCATGCGGCAGCTGCACAGGGCACGGAAGCACGCGACACCTGGCTGACCGAGGTGGGTGATATGCAGGATCAACGTGTCTTGGTGGCTTTGTGCGAAACGCCCGACCGACCGGCTCATGCTGCTGGCCACGATGACGTCGTTAGCATCTGCAAACAGCCTTACATCAGCTTGAGCATGAGCGAGCCGAGCAGCTGGCCCACCACCTGCATACACGGGACCTTATTGCACTCATGGCAGACACTGTCCTGGCAGATGTCAACCTTGAACTCTTACAGGTTGTCACGCTGCACACTGAATGTGTACTGTTGCTTTTCTTTTTTTTTTTTTTTCGTCAAACTCATCTACCCCTATCTCCTCCCAGCCGGGCACGCGATGCTTTGCCATTCTATCTGTTGACGGCCAATATCACGAAGCCGTTTTGCAAAAGGCTACTCCACACTCGGCTGTCGTGCGTGTTCAGTTTACGGAATACACGGACGTGGTAGAGGTACGGTGCGGCCGCTCTTGATGCCTGTTGATGGCCTACGACCGGGGCCCACTTATTCGATGCCTCCATAGGACGTGTCACTGGACGATGTCATGCCTGCGCCCGAGGCTGAGGAGCTGGGCGTGTGCGAGCTCTGCGCTCGAAACGTGCCACTGACGCGCCACCATCTGTATCCACGCTGCATGCACGGGAAGCTGGTCAAGACCATGGACAAGGTTGGGTCGGACGTTCAAAGCCGCACGACAGCAGGCGGACGAGTGTCATCCTGACATGTTTGAATCTACTGGTGGCGGCCCTTGTTGCAGGCTGAACTTAATCAAGTTGCGTTGTTGTGCCGCTCGTGTCATTCGGCCGTGCATCGATTACATGGCAATGCGGAGCTTGCTGCCAGGTTGGTCCCGCCTTTGCTCATCTGGCCCGCACCTGGCCCACGACGCAGCTCACGAGATGGTATGCCTGCCCATGCGCCGGTGTTTGGCTGAACTGAATACGGCGATAGCTATCACAGCGTGGAATTATTGCTGGCGGATGAGGCGGTACAACGCTGGGTGCTCTACGCTTCAAAGTTGAAGAAGCAATCGCGCCAGGAGCACGGCTTGCTGGCGGCACGAGCGCGACGGGATAAGCTGAGTCTGAACTGAGTGCAGAGTTGAGAAACTAATAGACGGAAAGGGCTTGGAAACTTGCACGACGTGGTGCCATGCTATAACCATAATATAATCAGTAAGAAATTGTATCCATCATAGATTTATCGGGCAAAGTGGTGACAACACAGGGGCAGATAAAATCGCTTAAGCGGGATTGCCCTTTCCCATGGGAACCGGGGCAGGGAAGACAGCCAGATCCAATGGCCGCGCAGCGGCTCGAAAAGACCTCTTTGGGATCCCGACTGCTGGACAGGAGTCGACTAGGGCCCGAGTCGCGTGGGGCCGACAAGAAAATTCTTTGGGCAGACTCAAGAAGAGCCGCCTTTGCCACCTATTGTGACTACTGTGGTCAGAGTCCGCCGGTGTAGGCGGCATCTGTCAGGCCCCAGCGCTCGTTGGCGTTGCATGGGAAGAGTTGATGTAGGTGTGAGCGAGACTTGAGGATTTGCTCGTACTGGGAGACGGAAATGTCCTGCACGGGGGCAGGACAATCATTGGTCCAGCGCGCGCGGGCCCGGGTCATATCAAATGGCCGCTTGGCAGATTCGGCAGCGTTCTGCGCGAGCTCGGCCATGTATTCATCGGTGTGGACGTAGTGAATGGCAACGTAGTCGTTGCAAACGTCCGGCATACTCGTGTTGACGGGGGTACGATGAACCCACTCATGATAAAAGGCTGTGTGGCTGGGCAAGTAGTCGTAGACGTGTGGCGACGTGAGCTGCCAGTGGCGTAGGGCAATGTCGCCGTAAGGACAGCACATCAGCTGGTCATAGCGGGCAACAATGTCCTCGGCAATGCCACGGCCCATGATGAGGGCGTGCTGGTCGAGCCAAAAGCCCGCCTCGCAGTGAGGCCAGCCAGCCAAGCGCCAAGGCTGGCCCAGAACCTTCCAAAACCGAGCGAGATGCCGTATGCACCAAAACACATCGTCATCGCTGATGACGAGGAACTTGAAGGGGATGCCCGACTCGACAGCGAGGCGGATGGTGTGCCGGAGGCGATGGGCCAAGAAGAGGCCGGGCGGAGAGTCTGAAACCCAAATGTCACCATGGGTGCGATTCTCCTTGCGGGCATCAGCCAAAGCCTCTGCGGGCTCGGCATCCAGGATAAACCGATACTGACCACGAAAATACTTGAGCTGGGGGCTGGTCAACAGATGCCGACGCAAGCTCGAGCGACGCGGCCCTCGAAAGGGCGCCGAAGGAATCAGCAGCAAAAAGTCTTCATAATCATTCGCCGACGCCACCACGGCCCCAACATGCTGCACCACCACCGTAGCCAACGTAACCCCAGCAAACCCCGGCCCCCTAAAAGCACGCTCCCGCTGCCCGCCAACCAGCACGACCACCAGCCAAGCCACGCCGAGCCCGAGGAAACCACGCACCATCCCCACCCTTGACACCCACTCTCTCGCTCTCTCTCTCTTGCAAATGTCAGATGTCAGAGGAAATGGCCGCTACCAGGTGTACCTTATTCTGGTCGCGACCACCGTCATCGTTGCTACCACGTGTGAGTGTGATCCGTGTGCCAGTTTGTGGCCCGGGGCTACCAAATGTTCACCTCCACTCTTTTGTTCTCCAGGCATGGAACACGACCTTCACGCCCTCTCTGTTTTCCCCTTGAAATCATCTCTCCCCGTCTCATGCCCACAGCTCCTCTCTCCGCCCCTCTCCTCCATCTTCCCCAAAGGTGTGCCACAGAAAAGATCTGTACTCTCCGTATCTCTCTCTCTCTCTCTCTGCATCTCTCTGCATCGTCTCTCTCTCTCTCTCTGTCCTCTCTGCATCTGTCTCCTGTCTCTCTCTACATCGCCGTCTCTCTCTCTTCTCTCTCTGTCTCCCTCTCTCCCTCTGTCTCTCTCTGTCTCTCTCCCTCTCTCCCTCTCTCCCTCTCTCTCTCTCTCTCTCTTCTCTTCCTCTCTCTCTCTTCTCTTCCTCTCTCTCTCTCTCTCTCTCTCTCTCTCTCTCTCTCTCTCTCTCTCTCTCTCTCTCTCTCTCTCTCTCTCTCTCTCTTTATTATTTCTTTGTCTCACAGTGCTGGCTCAAGATGGCAGCGACCGCTTCGACGACAAACCCGCAGTCGGGCAGTGCTGCCGGCTTTGAAGGTGCGTACCTGACTTCTCCTGTCTGTCTGCTGTTCTCTGAGGGTGGACGATTTGCGATATGGCGCTCGAGGTCCGATACAGTCCTGTCACACACACACACACACCAGCTGGTTCATGCATTCGGTCGAATTGGAGCAACTTGACACGCTCTCGCGCTCGCTCGCACGCCTTGAGACCGGCGGCACTGGCTTTGGGCACCTGTCTCTCTGCCCTTGTCGCCCTTGCGCGAGCTCCTGTACCCATGTCTTTCTCCACTCGGTGTCCCTCTGGCTCTGCTTTTGTCTCGCTGCTTTGCGCACGCCTATCCCACGCTGCCATGCGCCCGATGATTTGGCACACCTATGGCCCGCCTCCAGCTCGTTTTGCCTTTGACCTGCGGCTTCTATCTGTCCTCTCACCATGGTTTTCTTACCTGGCCCACAGATCCGCGCAAGAACAGCATCCTCGAGCAGGCCGAGCGCATCCGCAGCCACAAGGTTCCATGGGAGGCCTTCTCGTGCGTAGTAGTTTTGCGTTTCTTTCCCTCCCGCAGTGCTGGGCCTCTTGAGTTCTCGAACCAACCCACTCATGTCATGTGCCCTCTACGTAGTGGCATCGCTGGCGATGAAGCCGTTGCTGCCATCAAGCAACTGGATGGCAGTTCCGAAAGCACCGCTGCTGAGCTCGCCAAGGCTGACCCCAAGGTTCGGCTGCTGGGCAATGACCAAGCCCTCCCCTCTCCCCCCTCCTTCAAGGCTTTATCCAACCCATCCCTGCGCACTCCACCTTGCTCACCGTTCTTGGAATCCATCTTTCAGGCCCTCATTGCGACGCTGAAGCTGTTCAGCAAGCTCTCCAACGCGGTAACCCTCGAGTATCTGGTCACACTGCTTGATGACTTTGCTGAGCTCGACTCGGCCCATACCAGTCGAATCATGAGTGCTGGAGAAAAGTTTGTGCCATGCTCTCCGTCCTGCATTATCAGTGCACCGTCACAACTTTTCCAAAATGAATGTATCGCACGCCTTTCTCATCCCGCGTAACCTGGGCCTGGCACGGTAGGTTGGAGGATGGCAAGGCAGACACTAGCATCGATATCTTTGTCAAACGCCTGGCTGCCGACAATGACTACGTTGCACACCAAGCAGCCCGCATGCTGGCTCGGTGCGTCCTGTTCTTCTTTTTTTATTTTTCATTTTTTTTATTGTAATTCTTTGCTAGGTCCTGTCTGACTCATGCCTCCCCGCCTTACCGTACGCATCATACCCCGCCCCTTCTTTCTGGGCCGACAGCTTTGCTCTCGATGGCTTCAAGTTTGAAGAGGATGCCATCAAAAAGTATCTTGATTGGGCCGCAAACCGCATTGCCTCAGGCGTATGTGCCATGCCCGAAGCTCGCTCACACACGCTGTCCTTCCAATCGCGCTTTTCACCTCTGATCATCGCCTTGTTTATTTCTCCGCTGTACTGCAGGACCGCCCCGGCGTGTTGTTGGCTCTCACAAGCCTGTCTCGCACATTCCGCAAGGACGAGTTTCGCGAGGGCGCCGTCAAGCACGCTACCCTGCTGGATGTGCTCAAGACGCTGCTTACCAGCACGAGCCAGATTCAGACCCAGTACCAGGTGCTTCTGGTCTTGTGGGTCCTCACCTTTACCGAGCACTCGGTTGCGGGCATGCGCCAACATGCACATGCTCTCCTGACTCCGACTGCCGAGATTATGAAGGCGGCCTCCAAGGAAAAGGTGGTCCGCATGGCCTTTGGCTTTGCCCGTAACATGATTGTCAAATCCGCCAAGAATGATGGCCATGAGTATTGTGCCCTCCTGATCAAGTGCGTGCGCTCGCTCACGTGCCCCTCGGCACCCGGCACGGATTCACACATTGTCACTCACCTACACCTCGCGTCCATCTACCCCCCTACCCCGCCCCACAGCCACAAGGTCATGCCCCGCGTGACAGAGCTCGTCACACAGCAGCCATATAGCGATGAGGATCTCCTCCAAGATGCCACGGAGATTTCGGAGCAGCTCAAGGTCAGCCCGTGCCACCACTCCATGCCTTTTCCTTTGCCGCCCTTGTCCCGTGGCCCCGTTCTCCTGGCTTTTCGTTTCATGTTCTTGTTGACGCTTTGCCCGCCTGCTCACTCGAATGCCCCGATCGTTCGTAACAGATGGTCTTTGAGTCGCTCAGCTCATACGACGAGTATTTGGTCGAGGCCAAGAGTGGTGCTCTCCGCTGGTCGCCCGTCCACCGTAGCGAACGCTTTTGGCACGAGAGCGTTGCTCGCTTCAACGACAACGACTATGAGCTGCTCAAGATTGTGGCTGCCTACCTTGACCGCGAAGATGACGCCGAGGTGTGTTCCATGCATCCCAGTCCAAGGGCGACCCCCAGCCCACAATCAATCCCGCTCTTCTCACTGAGGCAAAATGACTCATGACTTGCAGAGCGTGGCGGTCGCGATCCACGATTGTGGCGAGTATGTTCGGCATTATCCCTATGGCAAGAATGCCCTGAGCAAACTTGGTGCCAAGGAAAAGATCATGGCCCTGATGGAGGGTCGTGATCAACGCGTGCGCTATGAAGCTCTTATTGCCGTTCAGAAAATGATGACCGACCACTGGTGCGTTTGCCGTGCACCTTCATACCCCCGCACCTGAACCTACAGACGCTCGTTTTAATCCTCGATCGCCTCGTCCAACCCTCAGGGAGTTCCTGGGCCAGCAAACACGCAAGGTGGCTGAGGGCGTTGCTACCAAGTAGTCTTGTCCTCACCGCCTCCCTTGACAGTTGTACCCGCCATACCTTCCCCTCTGTTTCCTCGATCGTGCCGCTAGTGTTTGGCCTCCTTGTCAGCGTTGTTGTGTCCTTGCTGGAGCGAAGCTGCTACTTCCCTCACTATCAGCACCACGAGCATTAGTCCCCCGTTTTTCTTTCTTGCTTACCCATCCCATCTTGTCGTTTATCTTGAGGCTGCTGTGATCGGGGCCCTCCCCTGTTGCCTGAGAGTGTACTAGACGCTACCCACTGCAACCCGTCCGTACCCCTGCGACGCCTCTTGCCACCCCTCAAAATTTATAATGTTTCGTGGTCACCTTTCAAGGACAGAAGCAGGCCGTCAAGGCTTCTCGATTCTATTCTTAATGATATCATGATAATGTTTGCCTTGTGCAAACCCCCACCCCCACCCCTCTTGACCACCGAATCATTCGGCAACAGTCAAGTTTGACCCAACCACATCGGGCGTGAAAGCCGGCCCATATGCCAAAAGCACCACAGTCCAAAACAGCACACTGAGCAGAAGACCCATCCAGGTAAACTCCAGCGTGCTGGTACGCTGGGGCTTGTTGCGAGCCTCCTGTGTGATAACTTCCCTCTCGAGGACCTTCCACGCTGCATCAAAGTCCTCAGCTACCATCACGCAAAGCAAAGCCACAGGTTGCATATTAACATTGTCCGACACCACCTTCGAGCTGCAAGACGAAAAACCCCTCGTGACCCCACAACATACGTGAGAGCAAGCAAACGGGGGGCTGAATCTCGAGCCGATCGTCCTGGTGATGACCTTGGACTTGGCGCTTGTGCCGTTCAAAGGCCGTTTGTAACGAGTGCAGGTAACGCTGCTGCAGCAAGTCGACGTGACGTGCCGAAGGCCGCGCCACGTAGGGCACTTCCACAGCCTCGCCGACTAACAAGGTCACCTATCACCACAGAACACGGTCACGAATGTGGCAAGACCAACCCTGCATAACCGCGGTTGCACGCTCTCCGGGCATGAGAAGATGCCACTGGAGCCAAACCAACCTTCGCGGGACGAGGCACACCAGGCAACCCGTATGCACCATAGGGAACAAAAATCACGTTGGCTCCAAAGGTTTTGGTGACCCATCGCTGCAACCAAAGAGGTGTTCGAATATTATCCAGCACCGCCGGCTCGCCAAAAGAGTACACCGGTACCAAGTAATGACGTCGCAAAGGGTCCTTGGACTTTTCCCGCAGTGCAATTTTGATGAAGCCTTTGTGCGAGCTGTCAATATAAATGTCCTGCAAAGTGCATGAAAGAGAGTGCAGGAAGAAACAACCGAGAATGAATGGGTGTGAGCGTGAGAGAGAAGGCATTTTCTCGGAGTATGAGAAAGCTGTGCGCTGAAGTGTACCTTTTTGCGTGAGTCGCTGAACAGCATTTCGAGCTGACCACCCGGTACAAGCAATACCGAACCCTTGCGACGCAGCCCGGCCCGAAAGCCAGCCAGCGTGACCTGGTAACAAACGATGAAGGAAGACAATGAGCACGGGTACATGCAAGCCTTCTGCTCGTCTCTTCCAGATCAAGCTGAGCTCACCTCGAGCCCACCCAAGAACTGCATCATGTCCCGAATCAGGGGAACGAAATGGATAATGCTTGAAGTCAATACGGCCGGCTTAACCTCAGGAAAGAGTGCATGCCACTGCGAAAAGTTGGCCGAAAACCGCCGTATCACGCGACAATCAGAAGCAGAAGCGCTCTTGGGCATGACACGCATGTCGACACCCATCGCAAGCACGCTTGCGCGAGCGAGTAGGGAGATGAAAGATATTTGGGGTTAACCTACTGCGCGGCTGCGTGTGCCATAGGCGGCTGTGATCGGGAAAATGCCGTGGGGGGAGAACCCAAAGATATGACGATCAGCTCGGCTCAGCGGAGTACGGCCATCATAAATTACCTTGAGAGTCAAAGAGCATGGTCAGCTGTGATTAAAGCGCAAACGAGCGGGAACGACAAGTACTTTGAGCTGAGAGCTACATGGCCAAACCTGAAGCGAAAAATACTTGGTGATAGCGTCCACCATCCAAGAGCCCGTCATCTGCCGCTCGCGTCGCCCTGAAAGAGACGGTTCACCCACATAGGTCTGTCGACGCGAGGTGAGCAAGCTGGATACTTGCGATGCACACTCACAAACGCCATTCCCGAGCCTCGATCTGGCTGTCTAGGTGAGGGTCTGATGGTGACTGACTGACCCAGATATAGATGGAGCCCATCACTGTCCAAGTGCCGACCACTGCGGCTGGGTAGGTTTTGACCAGCAGGACCGAGCTGATAAAGAACCCGATGATCAGCTAGTGAACACAAAATCATCATACCGCCCAACGAGAACGCCCGATTCGGGGTAAGTGGTGTGGCGTGAACCAGCGCAAACATTGAGCTTGTCTGAAGCGGGGACAAAGCTCATGGCGGGCGTGCCTTTTCGAGGTTGCAGGCCAGAAGAACGACCAACACCCGGGCGGCCAACGCAAGGGTGTCTCGAAAGGAAGGTGGCGGCGGCGGCGAATCTGGTGATGTGCGCTCCTCGACAACAGGACTTTCGGATGCATCGTCGCGCTTGTACACCAACAAGGAGACGGCATTGAGCGCCTCAGCGAGCAGGGCGGCAATGGCCACCATAGAAATGGAAGGCAGGGCTTCGCTGGTTTATATTATCCACAAGGCATGGCCATAACAACGACAAGTGAGGGCTCCGAAACGAAAATGCGATCATGTTCTGGGAGCGAGGGAGGTGCGAGCCATTTTGACCGATGAGGTACCGGCGTGCGACGAGAAGAAAGAGAAGCGCTTGTTGCTGAAGCACGTCGCATACGAGAGCTTCAAAGTGACAGAGGAAGAAGAATGCGCTCACAGTGAAA